GGCAGCAACCTGAACTCGGCTAAGAAAAGCACAAGAAGCTCTAAGAAAAGAAACAAGTGATGCAAAGGTTAGTCAATGGCAAAAGCAGGTTGAGACAGATCGGCGATTACGGAAACATTGGAGAAAATGGAAACAATGGAAACAATGGAAACAATGGGCTTCGCTTCTTGGCGACAAGACAAGAGTAGCATGCCAAAAAGCACCATGACGTCGTCCCGGAGTCTAACAATTGCTTCCAAAAGGCCGCGGAGAATAACCGAAGGACAAGACGACGCCAGGATGTTAGTAATGGAACGAGATCATCTCGAAAGTAATTTTTTATAATAAAGGTGTGAGATTTAGAACGCAGCGAGGCGACACACGAAGACTCGAAATATAATAGGAAATGCTAGTAGTATTCACAATAGTTCAAGGGGTCAGGGTAAAAAGATAAATATAAATATATAAATCGCGGAAGACAAGAATTAACGTGATTTAGATGTCGGGTCAACTCATTTCAAAGAATTTTGAAATACAAAAAACCAGCAGCAGGCAATTTATCTTAAAACGAGGTTGGGAAACGGACGAAAGCCTGCCGGTGACTCCTTCTTCATGTTTGTCAATCACCATCAAAAGCACAGAACCTTTCAAACATGTGTATGACCCTTTACCTAAGTCAAATACGATATTCAGACCACAACAGTAAATGTACCGTCGTACACAGTGACCTAGCGTCACTGGTGCTATTAGCACGGTACCTCTGAAGTCGGTCGACCGTTCCTTCCCGATGCATGTTCGTCGTGCACCTGCCAAAATGTTGCCGTTCACGTGCGAGGCTGTGCAACAATCTGCCCCTCATTGGACGTTGATTTGACTATGAGAATGCTGTTTTGTTTCGCAATTGTTGGCCAGTCATCAGACGTCTGTCGGCTTCCACAACGACGTTTCTGCCTTGCCGACGACCCTGTCAGCCCCGACCTTGCTGCGTCATTTGGACATTCGACACCCCTCATTCTACAACATACAACGTACAGCAGACTGTTGTCATTGCCGGCAGCGTCATCTCGTTGTCGAGTTCTTTTCACCTTTCACGAAAAACACACAAACCACGTAACACGACGTTATACTCCATTGCACAGGACGTCTTCCCTTTTACCTGATCCGCGTGTTCAACAACCACTGCAGTCATCCCGCACACTGCCAAGATGCTCTACTTTGCGTACGGAAGCAACATGGCGCTGGCGCAGATGAACCGTCGCTGCCCTGGTAGCAAGTTCGTTGGACGTGGCATTCTGTACGGCTATCGCTGGCAAATCAATGAGCGCGGCTATGCCAATGTTGTCAAAGTCGAGGACACGGCCAAGGCCGGCAGCACCAAGCTTGACACGGGTGGCGGTACGACCGCACACCACAAGACAAGTGCACCCACCGGCCCGTCTGTGCATGGCCTCGTCTACGAGCTCGACGGAGCAGGCGAGGATGAAGCGAAGCTCGATGTTTACGAAGGCGTTCGCACATCCGCCTACCAAAAGATGTACGTCGATGTGGTGGTCTACTCGTCCACGTATCCAGAATACGTTGCCGCATATGAGGCCTCCGGACACAGTGTCCCGCAGTTTGCAGGGACAAAGTACGGAGACCCAAGCAAACCCACCACGGCCGAGGGCGTGCTCGTGTATCTCAGTGACAGGTACATCACGCCCGGCGCACCAAAACTCGAGTACGTGAACCGTATGAAGGCAGGAATGTGGGACGCGTACCACCTGGGCGTTCCGGTGGACTATTTGGAGCGTGATTTGATTCCACATTTGGAAAACAACCGCGAAAAAGCGTCCAGTCTTGCCTCCAAGAACACAAAGAAGGAGAAGAACTGAACGACAAGGTCCTACGATGCCCAGAAAGGGTAGGAGGCGAGAGGGCGAGGGTATGGCGATTTCGACAATCGACGGAAAGGTGTGTATACGACAGACACGGCACACCGCTGGTTGACAGGCACCCATACAGGGTTCACACGTTGGCGTTACGGATGTCAAGGAATGGCAAACGGACATGGCATTACAGATCCAACTGGTTTTGTGTCAATGTGCCAGGAATATGTGATTCATGTTGTACAGGTGGAATATCACAGTACAACCAAGAGAAAGGCCAGTCGGATCGAACCGACACTATCAATTAGTTGTCGACCTGTGTCGATCTCAACTCTTGTTAAACATGTTTATTTTGTGTGCTCTCATTTTCATATCCACAACTTCGCTTTTGCACGACAAGTCGACATCCGCTAGCACCACGTCCGTTGGTTGCACCGATAGGAACCCCCGCACGACACTCATCCTTGAACCGGAACGATAGCGGCATCTGACAGCATCTCGGTCCACCGGAAGCTGGCTGGTGCCCCGCATTGTTGTCCCTCTTCGATGCGGAGTGCACAACTTGACAATCGCCGGACCGTCGCTGCATCCATCGTCTTGTTCCAGTGAGCGACTGTAGGGTCTACGTTACCGACCATCGTGCATATCTCTAATAACATCAGGAATTGGGGAGCATTACACCATCGTGGCCGCGTGCTAGGTCCTTCTTCCCTCTGCCCCCATCTGTCTCCCATCCCATACCTCTTTCTCTCTACGCGGCTCTGAGCAGTGCAACCAAAACAAAGCAGTTTGCTCCGACCATCGTCGACTATCAGTCGCCATGGAGGAGCTCACATTCACGACAGCTCAACCGTGCGCCTTCTCTTTCGTACCCGAGCGCACAGCTCTTGTGTTGGTCGACGAGCAGCGCGGCTTTGTCGATGCCGGCGTTCCAAATGCTGTGCCCGTCACCCCGTCAGTTCTCGCAGCAGCCCGTGCTCTGGGTCTGCACATTGTCCACGCGCGCGCGGGCCACTCTCTGGTCGACGAGCTGCGGCCACAGTCTGGTGAGGTGGTGGTGGACAGGCCAGGCACAGGTGTGTTCTGGGCGACGGGCTTGCACCGACGGCTGATGGCTCGAGGTGTCACGCATCTGCTAATAGCAGGCGTGGCGACGGAGTGCAGTGTGACCATGACAGCGCGCGAGGCGAGGGACCGCGGGTTTCAGTGCTGCATCTTGACAGACGTCGCGGGTGGTTTCGATGCGTCGTTTGGGACGGCGTCGACCAACACGGCTGTACCCTATGGGGGACAGTTTGGTTTTGCCGCGCCGAGCGCCGAGCTTGTGGCGTATGGCGAAAAAGCATCTGCAGCCCAAGAACCGCCTCCTCCAGCCGCCTCCTGGGACGGCACTTTGCTCGACCTAGACACTTTGCAAACACAGTACAGAGGTGCTGGCCTTTCCCCCACCGACGTGATCCATGCAGTGTTTGACCGCATTGAAGCGTACGAAAAGGAGAACCCGCACGCTTGGATGCTGCTGCGGTCCCGCCCGGAGGTGCTGGCTGACGCTCAAGCCCTTGTCAACAAATACGCTGGTGTGGAGCGCGACTGCCTACCTCCGCTATACGGGATTCCCTTTGCCGTCAAAGACAGTTTTGACGTTGCCGGTCTTGAGACAACAGCGGCATGTCCACCCTTTGCCTACACAGCCACGGTCACCGCGCCGACGGTCACGGCATGCCTCGAAGCGGGCGGTCTGCTCATCGGCAAAACCAACATGGACCAGCTGGCGACGGGCTTGAGTGGGTGCCGTTCACCATGTGGCATTCCATCGAGCGTCTTTCGCCACGCCGACCACGATGAGGATGCGTACTGTCCAGGCGGCTCGTCGTCCGGCTCGGCCGTTGCTGTGGGCGCGCGGCTCGTGACATTTGCGCTCGGCACAGACACGGCTGGAAGTGGGCGCGTGCCGGCCGCATTCAACGGCACTGTGGGCTTCAAGCCGACCAAGGGCACGCTGTCCTACCGTGGGGTCGTGGCGTGTTGCCGCAGCCTCGACACGGTCGCGATCCTGGCGCGTTCGGTACGCGAAACCCGCCACATCTGGCACGTCGTCGACCACTACGACGCCGACGACGCGTTTGCCAAAGACCCCCAGTCGCTGCCTCTCGTTCTGGCCTCCCTCCGCGGCGTCAACGCGGCAGGCTTCACGTATGCAACGCCGCCTGTGTCGGCCATGGCGGCAGCATCCTTGTCGCCCGCGTACGAAGCGGCCTTTGCCAAGGCCCTCGCGGTTGTCCGGGCCATGGGCGGCCGAAGGCATGCACTCGACGATGCCGCATACAAACCGTTTGTCGATGCGACGGACCTGCTGTACAACGGCACGCTCGTCAACGAACGCATTGCATGCATAGGCGATGACTTTATCAGGACGAACATCGCCCAGTTTCACCCCGTTACCGGCAAGCTGTTCCAGCAGGTGCTCGACCGCAACGCCCGGCCCTGGGATGTGTACAAAGATCAGCTGGTGCAGGCCGAGGCGACGCGGCTGGCGAATCGACTGCTGTCGGGCGGCGTCGGCCATTTTGGTGGTGTGGGCCGTGATGACGATGGTCATGATGGAGCTGGTCGTGGTGCTAGTACGACGGTGGACGTCTTGGTTGTGCCGACTGCGCCGTTTCATCCCACGGTCACGGCGATGCAGGACGACCCCATTGCGATGAATGCACAGCTGGGCGTTTTTACACACTTTGGAAATGTGCTGGACCTCTGCGCCATAAGCGTTCCGGCAGGCACGGTTGACGGCGGCATGCCGTTTGGTCTCTGCTTTGTGTGCGCCAGGGGCCTGGATGGCAGGTTGTTTGACATTGCAACTGCGTTTGAGCGGGCACTGGCGGCTTCTTATGGCAAAAGACAAGTTAAATTGGGGGCCGGAAGGGTCAACTAATAGGTAACAAAAAATAGAAGAAATGGGACTAAGAGGTCGGCCGTGGCCGATGGTATTGGAATAGCCCAAAACGGGTCTGCAGAACGCCCAAACTCCAGTCTCGCGCTGTACCGGTCTATATTTATGTATCATAGCCAGTAAATATCGCTGTACGTCTTTCTCACCTCACGGCACACTCTTCTCTTTCGGCCTCTCCCCGACACACACACACAGTCTCTCCTCCCCTACAGCTTCTCCAGTTTGGGGTCATGGGCCAGATGGGCTTTCATAGCGGCAAAGTTCTTGGTGCTGAAGCCAATGTCGATCCAGTAGCCGGCGTCGCTGCGGAACATGACGGTCGCGTGGAAGCGGTGCGGCGTGGTGAGCAAGCCACTGCGACCAATAACAAAGACTTCCGGGGGCGGCAGGGGCGTCTTGGCGCCGCTGTCATCGGCCGAGGTGGTGGCGGAGGTGGCCACGGCGGCGGAGAAGTCCAGGCCCCGCCAGGCGGCCGACCAGCTCGTCACCGAGAAGGACGTCTCAAAAGGCTCGCAGATGTGCATGTTCTGCTTGCGGCGGGCCATCTCGCGGATGATGGCGAGATGAATGTCGACATGGGCGGGATCCCGCATCTCCTCGACGCAGCTGTGGTTGTCCTTGGCGATCTGGGCGAGCGGGGTGTTCCGGTCGAGGCGGAAGCGCGTCGACGCGTGGGAGAGGCCGTTGTGCAGGAAGCCGTCCATGGCGGGGCCGGTCAACTGCGGGAGGCGGCCACGGACTGGCGCGGTCAGTACAACGGGCGACACGATAACAGGACAACAAGACAACAAAAGGAAATCAATTGTCACATACGGTTCACTGTCTGCGACAGGTTCATCGTCACCGGTCCCTTGTGGATGCGCGACAGCTTGGTCATCACGGCGGTAATGACGTCGTTGTCCGTGATGCCCGGGTCGCCTCCGCTGGCGTTCAGCGCCTTGGAGCTGCGCGCACGGAGAGCCTTGACGGTGGCCATGGGGAGGAACATGATGCGCTTTGTCTCCTCCGAGTTGAAAATCAGGTCGGGGAAGAAGCCCAAGAGGACGACCGGGTACTCGCCGGTATAGAATACGTGCATCTTGCCCTTTTGCGGGCGCTGCTCCGCCTTGGTCAGGGACGAAAATTCGCGGCTCTGCGGCAAGGGATCCTGCTCCAGGAGCGGCGGCGGCGCCTGGCCGGCGACAACACCCATCCAGGCGCGCACCAGAAGAGATGTGCCCAGCTGGTCCGCCACCGCATGCGGCACGCTCAGGGCCACGACGGTCGCATCCTCGTACTGCGTGAGGTGCACGAGCAGGATGGGCGTGTCGTTGGTGCCGTGGTCGACGTCGTAGGGCCACGAGGCCGGGCGGAACTTGGGGTCGTAGTCCGTAACCGGCGGCAAAAAGGCGATGCCGCCGCCGCCCTCGCTGGACTCGACGGGGGGCGTCTGCATCAGCTGTGGCGCGTCGGCGTCGATGGGCCCGGTCTTGGTCTCGGTCGACCACAGGAAGAGGTCGTATGTGTCGGCCGGCGGGAAGGTTTTGGGCACGTGGTACTCCTGTAGGCTGGTCGACTTGTTGAGCATGATGCGCCCGCCGAGCTTGCGCCAGTGCTCGCGGATGAGCGTGTCCAGGCCCCTTTTCATGGCATCGGCATCCAGACGCGCCTTGACGACAAAAAAGGTACGCGTGCGGATGCCCTGGAGGGGTGGTATCTGGTCTGTCAAGGCGGTGGGGATGACGTCCACGGCGGCTGCCCCGGCGACAGCCCCGGTGGAAGCCCCGGCGGCAGGTGTTTTTCTTGCGACCATGATGCCGAGCGAGGCGAGGAGTACTGCGAGACAGACACAGATGTGATACGGGTCGCTGAAGAGCCAAGAAAAGGTGTCAGACATAACAAACTGGGGTATCGTGGAAGGAATCCTTGGGCATCAAGCAGGAAAGAAACAAAAAAAAAGGACAAAAGAACAAAAGAACAAAAGAAAAGGCACGGAGAGGACATATACTGGAATATGTTTGAAATATTATAAATGGTGGAAACGAAACCGACCAAGACACCAAGGGAATCCGAGCTACAAATACTCGTGCACATATTGTGCAGATAGGAGAAATGAACGGGGGTGCAAACGTGGGACTGCCACGCACAGCACTACGTACAGAGTCAGGCTCGACGGGGACAGGAAATGACAGGACAAGGACAAGCATCGTCAGCCTGAGAGGAGACGCTCTGAGACTGGCCCGCTTTCCATGTTTCCACATCGCGGGCTTCATCCTTGGCCCCAACCGCAATCCTCCGAATACGCAGTACCATGCAGAGACAAGCACGGCCGTCAGCAAGACCAACCGTCCATTCCCAAAGAAGACGGAAACCAGAGTAGGGCTTATCAATTGGCTCTTAATTTGCGTTCTTTTTCTATTTTTTTTTTTTCTTTTCTTTTCTCTTCTCTTTTCTTTTTCTTCTCCTTCTCCTTCTCCGTTCTCCTTTTCTGCTCGTTGGCCTGGAATCTTCGCAGCATGCTGATCACCCAAGACAGCATGAAAACTAAAATCAAAACAGATCCTGAATTGGACGGACGGGACGCTATAGTCGTTGGTCGAGCCTCGCTACTGGCTAATGCAGCCTTTATATTTTCGCTCGATGGGGCTCCTTTGATTAGCTTGATCCTTGAGGAGTGACAGGGCTGTTGAGAAGGTGCATAGGGCAGTTAGTGTCCCGACTTTGGCCAGGCCAAGATGCCAAGGTGATGGAATGGCCGCGCTTGGAAGCGGGCCAGGGTGAATTCAGGACATGGGACATGACAGAAAGGGGAGCTGGGCAGCAGAGGCAGAGCAAAGCAAATGAGCAGATGAGCATCACGGCAGTACGGCAAGCCTCCACTTGCAGTGAGATGCCCTCGAATACACACGACTTGGAGTAGCATCGTACGTCGCACGGGAGGACAACGACGCAGAGACCGGAGACTCCAGACTGGAGACTGCGACTGGCAAAATGGCGACATTGATATGGAGGAGAATATAGTAGGCGACAACGTAAGCAGACTTGTGGGCAACGTCAGCCTGGCGCATGTACGACGTAAGCAAAGTTACAGCGATGTCAGCCCAGTGTAATTAGGCTTTTCGGCCATGCATAGCGCTGACGGGCCTGCTAAAACCCTAAAGCCGGCGCGCATCCCCGGACTTGCCTGGAACAGACGTCCTAATACGTCGTACTCTGGACAGCTGCTGCTGACTGGCGAAATTCGCCGACAACAATCTCAGAGAAGAGCAGAGCGACTCAGGGGTTGTCGCTCCACTCGCCGCACGTTTGTGCTGATCGACAAAGGCAAAACACACACCTCGGCACCCTTCGACCGCCGAATTGCCGTCGCTCGCATCCTGCACTTCGTTCGGGAGCGTCTCTGGGTCTCTGCCCTCTCCTTCGGCCCTTGTTTTCGGCCTCGCCACATCGAACCCGTCGCGCGCTGCCGGCTGTCCAGAGCTGCGGAGGCAGATCCATGTCCTCCGTTGACCAAACAAAAACAAAGACAAAAAGCAATGCGCTGGCCTGTTGCCGACCGTCCATAGACGACTGACTGTATCGGCCGTTTTGTCTCGGCTTCGAGTTGAGACAGGGACGCACCCGCGCTGTCCCATCGGCACACATTGCCGTTTCCCCCGGCCGTCGACCAACCCACGAATCCACGCCCAGGGATGGTGGCCCATCCCATTGAGCGCGAGTATGCCGATGCGCTGGGCCTCTGGGGCTGGATCTGCCTGGTCGCGCGCGCCGCCGCTCTCAGTGAGGATCCCGTCCTTGTCCAAACGACAGCCTTTGGTCCCGCCGCTTGTCCGTCCGTCCGTCCCTAACACAAAACAGCGTTTTTCCTTGCCGTGAAGTTCGTCAAGGCCGTCGTTGGCGGCAAGGCCCGCCGCCATGGCCAGACGGTGTACAAGTACACGGCCCTCGAGGGCATGCGCGATTACCAATACGGCCTCAGCGCCGTCCGCGTCCAGAACCTGCTGCCCTCGACGAAATGGCTCGCCCGCCGGTTTGCCAGGCGCAACAAGCTGCCCTTTGCGCTGATCCACCTCAGCGACGGCACGACAGCCGCTGTGCTTGGGCCGAAGGCGGAGAAAACGGAGAAAACGGAGAAAACGGAGAAAACGGAGAGAACGGAGAGAACGGCGGAGACAGCAAAGGGGGCAAAGAGGGCGCAGAGAGCGCAGAGGGCAAAGAAGGCAACCGGGGCAAACACGGCAAACACAGCCTCTACGGTGCCGGCCCAAGCGTCGTCCTCAGCACCCCGTCGAGCCGTCGTCGTGTTCCACGGCGGCGGCTACATGGCGCCCGCCCTCAGCAAGCACATCCACTTGGCGTGCGGCTTCAGCAAGACCCTCCCCGACAACGTCGCCGTCTACATCCTGCAGTACGGCCTCGCCTCCGAGACCGCCAACCAGTACCCGCGCCAGCTCCAGCAGGCCGCCGTCCTCCTCGACTACCTATTGACCGCGGAGAACTACCCGCCCTCGGCCATCACGCTTGTCGGCGACTCCGCCGGCGGCCACCTGGCGCTCAGTCTGCTCCTGCACCTGGCCCATCCCGACCCGCAGGTGCCCGCCGTCACGCTGCCAGACGGTGCGCGCCTCGCCGGTGCCGCCCTGCTCTCGCCCTGGATGATCACGCGCGCCCGCAGCGAGGGCCTCGTCCGGGCCAACGAGGCCAAGGACGTGCTGTATGCCGCCGCGCTCGACGCCTGGGCGCAGAACTTCCTGGGCCCGGTCGACGCGAGCGAAAACAAGGACAAGGCGGATGCTGCCGCGGCAGACAAGGGTTCGCCTTGGAGCTGCCCCCTGACGATGCCCGACCGGTGGCTGGCGGACTTGCCCGTGGACGACCTGTTTGTCACCTATGGCGAGGACGAAGTGCTGGCCGGCAACATTGCCCAGTTCTGCACGGCACTGTGCCGCGCGCGCAAGCCCCTTCCTGGCGTCAAGACCGCGGCCAAAGGCTACGCCAACGAGCTGCACGTCCACATGGTCATGAACCGTTTCCTGATGCTCGGCGAGACGTGCCTGTCCGAAGAAGAGTTCAAGGCATGGTACGCCACCCAGTTGGAGGCGCCTCTACGGTCGCCTTCACCTCCAGCATCGTCGCACGATGCAGTCGAGGTCGCCAGCAGATAGACTACACCCCCGTAATACCCTAATTTAATAGTCACATAATATTTGGCTTCAAAAGTACATAGAATAGACAACTTGCCCGTTTAGGATACAATCTGTTGACTATACTTGTAGCCCATTGGCTCTGCAAAGGAAAAGAGTAAAGCAACCGATTCAATCAGACAACGCGCTCTAGAACAGATTGAACAATGGACGAGGTCAGCATTAAACACGGCTGAAGTCAGAATAAATATTGTTTTTGGTCACTGCCCAACACCAGAATTCTACCAGTGTCTGCATTGCGCGCACAGGAGCCAGTGTCTTACGCCGCAGATACTCCATTTTGCTACGCCATTGTGGTATAACTTTTTATTTTTTTTTAAAAAAAAATAACACCTTGGCGAATCGCGAGAAGAAAAAAGAAGGCAATAAAAAACAAACAAAAAAAACGTACAGCAGCGGGTATTCGCTGGTCGTCACCGACCCAACTACTAATCCGCCGATTGAAGGTTTGACTAGGGGAGAGCGGACGGGATCCCGTATTGTCCTGCATCTATGGCCGTACGTGAAAGGCTGCACCCTTAGTTGAAATTTATACCCGTGTTCGAATACGTGTATCGAGAACTCATGCACGACAACTGTTACACCGGCCCAGCCTGGACAAGAACAAGACAAAACCTGCGATAATGAACGGCTGGCCGTAAAGACAGGCAATGACTGACGATGGAGACTGCAGACAAACGGCGGACCAACTTCAGACAAACACCACGACATCCGAGGCTCAATACACAAAGTAGTATGTGTTCTGCAACAAGGATTCGGCCGAGGATTCGGCAGAAGCAGTCCTTTACGTCACGCAGCGTCGAGCATCTGCGGGTTACTCATCTTTCAAAGTCCCCGATTTCACTGCGGTTCGCGACGAACGCCGACTGACACGGCCCGGGACACAAAAAGTGGGCATTGCCATGGTCTCTGGAATGTGGTGAAATGGACATGGCGAATCTTGGACGGAAGCGAATGGCAATTGTAGAAATTAGAAATTGCAAGACAAGGCCGAAAGCGCGAGAAAACGACGCTTGCGGCGCGGTTTACGTGACCACGCGCCCAAATTCACCGGCTAGCCTCGGCGGCGATCGCTGGTTCCGCATTCGCTCACCTTGAAGTTTTCATTCCGTCTTTATCTGTAGTTCTTTTTTTTTTTTTTTTTTTTGGTCGGTCCCTGACTGACTCTCACGTTCTGGTGACTTTTTAAGCCGAGCCTCCATTTTCTCCAGGCCAATGCGTCACATCCACATCGTCGTCGTCCCGGTTGCCCTGATTCCACAATTTTCCCTTACCCGTCTTACGTCTGACATCAATGACACAAAGAGAACGTCAACAAGTCAATAAACGAGCATCGACCATCCAATTGGAGCTTACCGCCGCCAAACGGACTGTCTTTGAATTCACGGCAATTTTATAGAATTAGTACGACTGCCTTGCCCACCACGCCCACCTACCCTGATTTTTTTATTCTTTGTCTATCCAACTTTGTCTCTCCAATTTTTTCTCTCCAACTTTTTCTCTCCAACCACACCCGCGATGGGTTCCGTTCCGATTGCTACGTCACACTTTGCGGCGCTGCCGTCGGCTCCGCGTGACGAGATCTTTGCGCTGCTCGGCCAGTTCCGGCAAGACACCCACCCGGATCGCGTCAATCTCGGCGCCGGCGTGTACTGCTCGGATGCCGGCGAGCCGTGGCCGCTCGACGTCGTCCGGACCGTCGAGCAGTCCTTTGCGGCCAAGGCCGACCCGCATCGCCACGACTACATCCCCATCGAGGGCGACCAGCAGTTCCTGGCGCTGGCCCGCGACTTTGTCTTTGGCGACGCCTGTGACGCCGACCGCCTCACCTCCGTCCAGACCGTCTCCGGCTCCGGCGCCAACCACGTCGGCGCCCGATTCCTGGCCGAGACGCTGCGCCCGCGCCGCGTCTGGCTGTCGGCGCCGACCTGGGCGAACCACGAGCTGATCTGGAAGACGGTGGGCGTGCCGGTGCACTACTACCCGTACTACAACGCCGCCACGCGCGCCCTCGACTTTGCCGCCATGGTCGACAAGCTCGAGGCGGAGGCCGCGCCCAGCGACGTCCTTCTCCTGCACGCCTGCGCGCACAACCCGACCGGCCTCGACCCCACCCAGGCGCAGTGGCGCGTCCTGGCCGAGCTGTGCCAGCGCAAGGGCCTGTTCCCCTTCTTCGACAACGCCTACCAGGGCTTCGCCTCGGGCGACCCGGACCGCGACGCCTGGGCCGTCCGCCACTTTGCCCAGCTGCAGCCGCCCGTCGAGATGTGCGTGGCGCAGTCCTTTGCCAAGAACCTGGGGCTCTACGGCCACCGCGCCGGCGCGTTCCACCTCGTGGTCGCCGGCGACGCCTGCACGCCCGCAGCGCGGGACGCCGTGACGGCCAACCTGGCCCAGATCATCCGGTCCGAGTACTCCGTGTCGCCGCGCTACGGCGCCGACATTGCCAAGGCCGTGCTGGGCAGCAAGGCGCTGACGGCGCAGTGGCACACCGAGCTGCAGACGATGAGCGGGCGCATCCTGGCCATGCGCCGCGCGCTGTTTGACGAGCTGGTGCGCCTGGGCACGCCGGGCACGTGGGTGCACATCATCGACCAGATCGGCATGTTCTCGTACACGGGCCTCTCCGTGCCCGAGGTCAACTACCTGCGGGAAACATACCACATCTACATCCACTCGTCAGGACGCATCTCCATTGCCGGCCGTACGTATCCAAGGACTCCTTCTCTTTCCCTTTTTGTTTTTTGTTGTCTTTTTTTTTGGCCAAACAAATGCTGACGAATTCCAGTCAACACAAAGAATGTCAAGTACGTTGCGGCCGCGATACACGCAGTGCGCTCCGACCCATCCTTGGTGGACTCTACGTGAGAGGATGTCCCTGCTTTGGTAAAACTGTACATACAAAATACAAAAATAGAACATGACCATATGCAAGCGACATGGACGATGAATGTAAAACAACAAACATCAAATTTTATCACAGTAGTATATGAACATGGCGTGGACACAGTTTTTGCGATCGTCAGTATACAGCCGAATACGCCGACGACGTGACGTTGTCGGGGCTCACGAGACGGCTGCAAATGGCGGCTCGGAGATTGTGCCCCTTTGTAGCCAGAAAACGGGACGGACTTTAGCCAACCCCGAAAAGTATAAATGAACGACCGGGCCTGTCACATTACATTTGAGTAAGCACAGACAAAAATAGGACTCGTTTTCTTGAACACGTCATGAAGAAGAGGAGACTGGGCTTGATACGACCAATCAAGAGGACCATAAACGATCTAGAGTCATTAATCCGTGGCAAAACCAGCCGTGAAGCATTCAAACAAACCGTCTGAGACGCACTGTATACCCTTAGCACATCGATCTAGACAGCAGACATCACAGAACGCGTGCGAGCGAGATGAATCTGCAACAATTCAAGTCACTATGGAGGCACAAAATTCCCCAAACGTAGTTACGCAACACACCAATGTCTCTTCCGGCCATCGCACCGGCTCCGCCGTTCGGCAGTTCTTGCACTTCGACTGACGAAGACAGAGCCAGTATAAAAGACGCGAGCATCCAGCCTATGTACAAACAGCACACGGTCCGAGTTTGGCAAACAAAGCACCTCCCAAAATCAAACATCATGGTCAGACTCTCTGCTTTGGTCGTCCTTGTCGGCCTTGTCCTGTCGCCCACCACCGTCTCAGCCCACCCTGGCGAGCATCCTTTCTCGCCAGAGAAGCGGCAGGAGACGCTGAAGAAGCAGGCATTCAGCCACATGGTCGCCCACAACAGCAAGAGAACGCTTGATGCTGCGTGCGGTGGCCGTGCCGAAGACGTGGCTGCCCGTCAGCAGCGTGCCATGGAGCGCCGCTATGCCAAATTCCAGGAGCTGCGCAAGCAGCGCAATCTTGACCATTGTATGTTGCCATTTCCAAAACTCTTTTCAGTGTACGTCAACGGAACAGGACACTGACTCCACTCCCCCATTCACAGTGAACACGGTCGAGCGCCGTGCCAATGCGGACTTTGCGCGCTATAACGCCGCGTCCCACAACCGCACGGGCCTCCGCCACTGGGACAGCGACACGCCCTCCCACACCGTCTTTGGCGCAAACACAAGCTGTGTCCTGACGCCCGACAACATTGAGGGCCCGTATTTTGTGTGGGGCGAGGACGTGCGGTCGGACCTGACCGACGGCCAGCCCGGCGTCCCGATGCACCTCGAGCTGCAGCTCATCGACGTGGAGACCTGCCTGCCCGCGCAGGCGGTCTTGGTCGACGTCTGGGCCTGCAACGCCACGGGCGCCTACTCGGGCGTGTCCGCCGCGGGCCAGGGCGGCCTCAACTCGACGTTCCTGCGCGGGGTCCAGATGAGCAATGCCGAGGGCGTCGTCGCCTTTGACACCGTCTTCCCCGGCCACTACCTGGGCCGGGCCACGCACCAGCATATTGCCGCCCACATCGGCGCCGCGCTGGCCGCGACGAACCAGTCGTACACGGGCGGCACCGTCGCGCACATTTCGCAGCTCTTTTTCGACCAGGCCCTGATCCACCAGGTCGAGCAGACGTCGCCGTACAACGCCAACCCCGTGCCCCTGACCACCAATGCCCAGGACCTCTTCACCGGCTTTGCGGCCTCGCCGACCTACGATCCCTTTGTCGAGTATGTCTTTGTGGGCGACAACGCCGACCCGGCCTACGGCCTCTTGGCCTGGGTCGAGCTGGGCATCAACACGTCGCTCAACTACGACGCGTATGCCGCGCCGGCCGCGTTCCGGTACGAGGGGGGCAGTGTCGACAATGCCAATTTCTTCGAGGAGCAGATTGCGGGCGCGTTTCCGCCGCCGACGCACGGCTGAGGCAGGGCCGTTTACGATGGGCGGACTCGATGGAGGGGGACGTGGCCTTTACGTGGATGTGCTACAGTAAAGTAAGCCCCAAAACAAAGGAGAGGTCACATGAGACTAGCTTCGACCTCCCATCCTCCCCTGCTACTTGCCATATCTGCTCCGAACAATGCTTGCTGTGCTGGTAGTAAACTGTATTGGATATATAAATGCAAGAAAAAATGGGCTTCGCGCGCGTATCGGTACAGTGGCTCTCTCTATCCTGTCTGTTCTCTCCTTCGCTCTACTTTCGGTTGCGCGTCTTCTTGTTCGGCAACTGCTGGTCTTCTTCCTCTTCGTCGTGGCCCTTTTTCAGGTCTTCTTCCAGCCCCCATTCTTCCTGGTCGTACCAGTCCTCGCCGTCCGACATGTCCCGGTTCGGCCCGCTGTGCGCCTCGGCCTTGGCCCACCGCAGGACGGTATGCCGCAGCCGGTCGGCGCGCAGCAGGCCCTCGTGCAGCTTCTTCGTACCGCGCGAGACCTCCTCCTGCTTCTGCACCCAGAGCTGCAGCAGCCGCCGCACGTCCTCGGCCTCGGCTTCTGGCAGCCCCAGGTTGGGCTCGGGGCGTGCAGACCGGGGCGCCAGGAAGAGCGGGTGGATGATACCCTCCTCCTCCTCCTCCTCCTCCTCCTCGTCCGCGTCCGCGTCCGCGTCCTCGTCGCCGCCGTCAACGCCCGCCAGCGCTCGGCCAGCATCGTCTGCCCCGCCGCCTCGGGGTATTACTGCGCGGTCGCCATTGGACTGTGCAAGCTGCTTCCCGTCGGCAGCGCCACCTTGTGGGGCGTTCGCCTTGCGCCGGTCGGCTGCTGTGTCTGCTTCGTCACCTGCGTCTGGCATGGTCGAGTCGGGGTCGGGCTCGGGCTCGGCACCGCCCACCGCCTTGTCTTTGTCGTCCGTGTCACCCTGCCTCGACGCGCTCCGCCTGTCTTCCAACAGACCAGCGGGCGGCCCTGTGGACCCGCGCGCCGTCGCCAGGCGCGCCACATGCTCGTCGTCAAACAGGTCGGCGTCGTCGGGGGTGACCAGCAGCCCGCTGTCCACCCAGATATGGTCGCCACACAACTTGATCAGCAGCGGCTTGACTTTCCACAGCGCTGCGCTCTCCTTGTGCATCCAATTGCTGCCTTGCGTGGCCAGCTCGGTCAGGGCCTTGTTCGTAAACGGACGCGAGAGCGACGGGTGGTTGGGCAGGTCGGTGACGGCAGTCAGAGGGGCAAGGAGGTCTGAAGCATAGTTGGCATAGTTAGCACGGGTCCGTTGGCTGTGTGCGCAAGTGTGGTCCGCTCAAACTCACGCTCTAGTTGAATGCCGGCGTACGGGTTCTGCTCGGCGGCCGCCGCCTCGGCGTCCTGGACGACGGCATCGTCGTCCTCGTCGCTGTCCACCGCATACCCCTCGTCGTCGATCAGCGCCGGATTGTGGCTGATAATCTCGCGCCGGTAGCCGCCGTGTTCGACTGTCTCGGTGAACACCGTCAGGCCATCCGCAGCACCCAGGTGGCCTTGGCGCACAAACCGCGCGCGGCGCTTGAGCTTGCTGCCGCGGTTTGTACTGTGGTCGACGTCGGAGTCGGAGTCGGAGTCTGTTGTAGATCGGCGTGGATATGGTCAGCATTCGGCCGGTTAAGCTGTGGCGCAAAGGGCAAAGCCAGAAAGGCGCGTCAAAGAGGGCGACGGTCCTGGCAGAAGACTCACCAAACGGTCGCCGCTTGAGGGCGCGCTGGAGGCCGATGACGGTCTCCAAGAAGACAGCCTGGTCGCGTGCGGCCATTGTGGCGATTTGTGTGTCCGAAGACAGCTGGGGAGTGTCGAGAAGTGTCGAGAAGTGTCGAGAACTGGACGAGGCGGCAGAGAGGGAAGAGAATCGGTCTTTTGCCGGGGGATTCGCGGGCACCAACGAAAGCCAGCAACGCCAACGTCGTGATTCAAGTCTAAAAGTGTAAATACAGGCGTCGCAATACGGTTATGGATGTATAGTCGCCCAAGGGGTCGCTGGCCGTCGTCTGTGTCGGTGGAGGGAGGAAGAGCAAAGCTGATGGAATTGAGTGGTCGATCGCAACGACTGCCGGCGCAGACGCCCTCTCGCCCTCTGTGCTCTGCCCTCCATAGCCTCCTCGTTTTCTGCCGCTTCCTAGTCATGCCCCAGAGACAACCTCGCGTTCACCGCCCTGGCACAGTCGCCGCTTTGAAGAACATGATTGGCCAGATCACTTATAAATATGGGTCCTAGTGTTCCAGGACAGGATACATATGTCCTCATCTAATTTGTGTGCAAGCTGAGGTACTGTTTACCTGGCAGTCTGGGGCAGCTGTTGAGCGTTCCTGGCCAATCACAGCAGCTGTTCACAGTAGCCTGCGATGTGCTCCATAGGGTCGACGCTCACTGTATGACATCCTAGAGCTGCTGTCAGCTTCACATACAATCAGTTGTCACCGGAGCCGCGCAAACCTGGCAGCGCACTCAGCCAAGAAGCTGCACGGGCGAGCGTACGTTTGCAATCCATTCACGAGCGCATACGAGTACCTGATACACATGCAGAGCTCCTAACCAGCGCCGCCGGGCCCCTTTCCCCTCCCCCACATCGAGCTGCAAGAAACAAAAGTCGCGATATCTTGGACGACGACAGCGACGGCGACATCGGCGGACGCGACCTGGAGAGGGCCAGACCCGGTGAGAACGGCCGCGGGGACGCAACCTGTACACATTTCGTCCGACACAGGACCGCCAGCCCTGCACCATGGATGCCTATCCCGCCTACAGTCTGACGCAGAACATCCCGTTACTCGTCACGATCGGCCTGCCGGCAGTCGGCGACTCTGGCGACGACACAAGCTCGTGGACACTGGATGCCGAGCTTAAAGACCAGGCCACACTCTTGCGGTCCGAGCTGCCCGTGCTCGACGGCAACCCCGTCGCCGAGTTCAGCCGCTATATATCAACTGGCGATGTCTCGGGCCCAGTGCCGTCAGGATCACAAAAGTGGCGTGGCCGGGCCAGCTCACAACGGTACCGGTTCCGCGTACGGACTGCAGGAAGGGTGAGTGTGCTTCGTGTGCTTGGGCCATTCTGTCTCTCCTTTGATCCATCGTCACCTGCTAACGTCGCCAGACATATTATTTCCCGCCGCGCCGAGCTCGCCTGCCCGAAAATTTTGAAGCGCCCGAGCCGCAGAGCGTCGTCCTCCACTCTCCCTTTTCGCCACTCAGCCCGTCCTGCCATCTCTACCCAGACGGCATCATCGACTCTCGCTGGATCCAGAAACACCAAGAGATCGTTCCGAGTGTCTTCCTCTGCTTCTACTCTTTGACATCCGACCCGACGACCGCAACTCTCCAGGACAACAAGATCAAGTCCGACATCAACGCCTTTCGGACTGCCGTGCAGCAGTCTGGCTACCGCTCTCGCGTGGCCGTCGCCGTCTTCTTTGCCGCCCCTGGCGACGACAGCAACAGCAGCACGGATGGCGTGGCGCAGGAGCGTCTGGAGAACATCCGCAAGGGAAGCGGCACCGATACGAAAATGTTCTTTGCCATCCCGGCCACCACAGCTGCGGGTGCGCCCGCTGACGAACTGCACCGCGTGGCGGAGAACATGCTGACCAACGTCTACACGGTCGCCATGGACTACTACCGGGAACTGGGCCGCCACCTCCGCAAGAAACGCGGCCGTGGATCGGCACCTCAGCCTTCTGTTCCACCAACCAGTGGCACCTCGCAAACCCTTTCGCTTGCCGGGTGGCATGTCCGCTATGACGTCAAGGCCGCCGTGATTGCCGAGTTTCGCCAAGAAACAGACGCTGCGTTGCGCCTACTCGACCAGGCCTATGAGACCCTGCTCGGGCCAGAAGTGTTGGCCGAAGCGATCCCGCACTGGAGCCCGCGATGGAACGAGGCGCGCCTTCTCGTCGACACGCTGGCCGTGCGCAGTCTGCGGTGTCTCCTGATGGCTGGCCAGTACAGCTCGGCCGTGCGACGCTGGACCGTCTACCGCGACCGTCTGCGGAATCTGCTGGACGCCCGCGGGCGCGGCACCGCCAACTACGGCTGGCAGGCGTGGGAGGCGCGCTGGGCTGTCGTCATGGCCGACCTGATCCGCCGTGTCGGTGTTCCCGAGCTGGATCCACGGTCGGGCCGCAACCTCTTCTTGCTGCCCGAGCGCAACATGATTGCCGAGCGGCTCGCGCCCTGGGAGTTTCTCCACCACCGCGGCTACTGGTACCGCATCGCGGCCCGCCACACGGCGGCACGGCGTGCCCTGGCACACCAGATCCCCGACGACGACCGCCGCCCGCCCGACGTCTCGCCTGCGTCCCACGTCGCCAACCGCGCCTTTTCGTACGACGACTACATGTGCCCGCCGCCGCACAGCGAATACCCGCTGGCGGGGCATGGTCCGGGCGTCAACCATTCGGCCGCCATCGTCACCTATCTGGAACTGGCGCGGGACGAGTTCCTCCAGCGGCGCCAGACGCATGTCGCTGCCGAGTTGGCGCTCGAGTGCGGCCGCGAGTATGTGTCGGCGAAGCAGTGGGACGCCGCCGTCGACTTGCTGGCGCCCTTGTGGACCTCGTCGAGCGCAGCAACGGGGTGGTCGTCGTGGTTGGACGTGCGCGAGGATCTGGCCTGGACGCTGCGAGCCGCCGTCGCAGAGCTCGAGGAGCCGCGGCCCGATCTGCTTGTCTCCATCGACTGGGAGCTTCTCCATGCGCAGTATACACCACGGGCAGACTGGGCATACGATGTAGCCAAGTCGTTGCCCGCGTCTTCCAAGGGCGTCCAAGGCAAGCAAGAGGCGGACAGCGTGCCGGTTGCCGTCAAGCTGCCCGAAGGCACACCGCCACCGTCCTTCTTGTCGGCTGCGTTTGTCTTCAAGAACGGCGAAGGAAAGGCGGGTGAGGCTGTTTTGGCACAGCTCACAATACGTTCTGATGCGCTCGCCATCTCTGTGCCCATTGTGCTGGAAGAACTGCATCTACAGTTCAACAGCAGCATCAAGCCAATCGTGCTCAGGCACAGTGCCGATGCAACCGCAACATTCTTCACCAAGGGCAAAACAACACATTCTACAATACACCTGGAAGAGGAGGACGAGGACGATCCAGGCGCAGGGACCAAAACCATCAATGGCGGTGACGATGACGACGAGACACGCGTGCTGGGTCTCCATGGATCAGCGAACCTGACTTTACAGCCGCAGTCAACCCTTGTCTTTGAATTGGCCATTCCACTCCGGCAACCGGGCGACGCCCACGCTGTTTCGGCCGACCTCGTCTACCGATGCCCTTTGTACTCGCTACAGATGAAGCTGCCCCTGGCGTCGTATGTTGCTGGCGAGGGCAGCCGTGGCGGAACGCCGACATGGTTCCTACCCCGTGCGGGTGGGCGCGTGTCTGTGCCTCGGGCCGACAGCCAGGCGATCAAAATCCTGCCAAGGCCACCAAAGCTGGATATTCAGTTGCTACATGCTCCTGCGGCAACAACCGCGGCCACACCGATCCCGACAGTCCAGTACTACACCAACGAGGCCATCGACCTGGCCCTCGAGCTCGTCAATGCAGAGGATGCCGATGCCAGTGTCAAGTTGGACGTCATCATGGAGGGGGGCAGCGACGAGGCTGGCGCGAGCGGCAGCAGCACGCCCGGCTTCACGCTGCTGGTGGCGGGCGACGAGATCGATACCGCAGAGCCACAAACAACAGACATCGCCTCGCCAACACCGCCAACGGCCATGCTGCGGTCTGTGCCCCTCGGCCATGTCAAGGCTGGCCATTCCGTTGCCATTGCCATCCGCATCCCTCCCACAACACCTTCCATGGACTTGGATCTCACCCTTCGCGCCGCCTACCACCTTGTGAGCGACACAGCCACGCCCATCACCCAGCAACTCTCTGTGAAGCTGAGCCTCAGCAATCCCTTCGAGGCCAACTACGACTTGCTCCCGCGCATGCACCCAGCGGCCTGGCCCAGCTTGTTCGACCACGAGGGCATTGTGGCGAGCGGCATACCAGAGGACACCGATGCCGTGAACCGGGGCTTCCACGGCTTGACGCAGGCGTGGGCCCTCGTCACGCGCTATGCATCGTTTGCCACTGAAGACCTGCGCGTCGTCGATCTGGACCTCGTCATCAAGCCCGAGCCCCGAATTTCTGTCCAGCATACAAGAACCGACGGTGCAAGCCACAATGGAAACGACAATGGCACACTCCAGACAAGGGATGCCGACGGTGCTCTGACCATCAAGCCGCAGACCATGGAAGAGTCCCGGTTTGACCTGGTCGTGCAGAAGGCGAGCCTCGACGACCGTGATCCGGTGCAGCTGGATGTGTCGTTTGTCATTACGTGGCAGCGCCTTGCACCGCCAGGCTCCCCTGCCGGATCGGCCGCATCGGCCGCATCGTTGCCCACAAACACCACCACGCTGCCCGTCCCACAGCTGGGCCTCTTCGGCACCGAGCCCCGTGTGCTGGCGTCTGTCGCCTACAGCCGGCCCTCCGCACCCGTGCCAGCGATCCAGCTCACCCTCGCCATCGAGAACGCCTCCAACCATTTCCTCACGTTTGGTCTCAGCATGGAGCCATCCGCCGACTTTGCCTTTTCGGGCGCCAAGCTGACCACAATCCATGTGCTGCCCATGTCCCGGCGCGCCACCACCTATCGACTGGTGCCGCTGGTGCGCGGCACATGGATCCGGCCGGCACTGGTCGTGCGCGACAAGTACTTTCAAAAGGTGCTGCGCATCTTACCGACGGAGGGCATGAAGATGGATAAGGACGGGATTCTAGTCTGGGTACCACCAGATGTGGAAGAGGAAGAGGAAGAAGAAAGCGGCAAGGAGGGGGATGCAGACGGTGAAAAGGGCGGCGCCGAAGAGACCAACGCGTAGACGCATGAGACCGTGTCCAGTCACAAATCATCGGCAGTTTTAGAGGATAGAAGGACAATTTATGAACCAATTCCGTATCAACTGTACAAGTGCGTTGCAGTAACGTATCCAGACGTGCCGGCAGTCAATGTAGATATATGCGTATTGCTATGCAAAATCTAAACAGCTCTAGTCAATTCTAAGTTCCAAAAGAACATCTAATCCTTTTTCTTTACAACCTTGGTTTCGGCTTCTGAGGAATGAAGCTGCGCCACTCGGCATCAATCGTCTGCTTGGCCTCGTCTCCGCGCGGCCACCATGCCGCCTCCAGCTCCCGCTCCTCCTCGCGCCACAGGTTCAGCTCCTGGCCGATCCACGACGCCGCGTGCTCGGCGCACACCGTCGGCAGGTCCATGGGCACAAGATGGCCCGTCTTCTCGACCACGACCTCACGCACGCGGCCCGCTGCCACGCCGCCGCTGCCGCCAACACCCACACCCGTCAGGTCCAGCTTCTCCTGCCGCAGCTCCGGCGTCGACATGTTGCTCGTCGCGCCAAAGATGTAGCACACGCCCGGGCGCAGGTGCGGCAGCTGGGCGGCAGTGTTGGGCACCTCGGGACGGTACAGCTGGCTGGCACCGAAAACAGAAAGGCTGGCGTTGCTGATGTCGGGCAGCCGCTGGCGGCTGAACACACGGCGGCCCGTCTCGACGTCGACACCCTGCAGCAGAGGCCGCAAAAAGGTAAACACCTCCTGGTGTTTTGTGGTCGTCAGCGTAACAGGCGGGCCATCAGCACTAGTGCCGGGACCGTCCTGCTTACTTTGCGTGGCCCCCACAACAGCGTCTGGGTCGGGGAACCGTTTTGTGGGCAGGTCCCGCAGGCCGTGCTTAATCCACGCGTCCAGCACACGGGGGTCCCACGCGGCATAAAACTTGGACCGGCGGAACGAGGCGGCCGCATTGGCACGCGACGGCCACACTTCGCGGCGCACGGCGGACAGTTCGAGTGGCGTGGAACCAAAGGCCGGGCCGACCAGTCTGAAATTGAGCACCGGGTCAAGCAGCACGAGTGTAGAGAGGAGGCGAGGGTGCATCAGGGAGAGGTTCGCAATGATGCTGCCGCCAAAGGAATGGCCGACGCCGACGAGCGGCCGGGGCATCTCGCGGCGGAAGGTGTTGATCATCTGGAGCAGGTCGCGGGAGTGGTCGTACCAGGAAGCTAGAACGGTGTCAGAAATATCAATAACATCCAGCGGCAAAGAACGTCTCTTGTACGTACGGTCGTTGCCCAGGTTGGCTTCGTTTCGGACTCCGCTCTCGCCCTGCCATGCAACGTCGGCGATCCATATACTGCGGATGCGGAAGCCATTCTTCTCGCTGAGAGCCAAAAGGTCGTCCCAGAGTGGTTCGTACAGTTCCTGAGCGCAGTGTTAGCTGATTCTTCGCCAATCGTGCGTCGTGTACCTCACTCGCTCTCTCGATCTGAGCACACAGCCCACACACCTTCACAAAGCCATTGGCGTGCGCCGCGATGATGGTCACGTCGCCTGGTTGCGGGTTCGGGTTGCTCCGGGGAATGTACTGCTTTGCGCACACCTGGAGGATCTCTTCTTGGTTGTGCGCGGTGGCTCGGGAGTATTCGCGGATATGCTGGCCGTCGAACACCCGGTCCTTGACCTCAAAGAACTGCTGAGACATGGTAGCTGTGCAAGTTGGAATAATGGGAGGGTGTCAAGGCGCCGAGAAAGAAACGCCGAGAGAGACAGGCGTCAGAATACGCCGCAGTCTTTCTTTCGTGCGTCGTGCTTCGTCCTTCGTCCTTCGTCCTTCGTCCTTCGTCCTTCGTCCTTCGTCCTTCGTCCTTCGCTTCTCGTCTTTTGTGCTTTGTCGATCTGCGCGACAACGACTTCTTAAACGACAGCAACGAGGTGCCCAATGGCAGCCAGCCACGCCCAAGCGCAGGCGCGGATGGGACAGTCGGAACGACTCAGACAAGCAATAAGCGAGCACCAAAAGTCAGGAGAGTCCAGAACCTGGGAGACGAACAGGAGAAACAAGAGGACGGCAGACGCCGAGGCGAAACGAAACGGAACAAGCTCGATGAGGAGAGCCGAAACAATGGGACGCAAAAGACGATGGAAAACGCCCGTGTTTGTCTCACGAAAAGCCGAATGAACGTCTTGTTAAAAGCATACATGAGCAAAAGCTCGACGTTGCGGCGAATAGCCGCAGCGCAAAGCTACCGGAGAGACGCTGCCGAGGCACAGCCCTAAATCACAGTTAAGGCAAGAGGGGGCGGCAGATTGTCCGCAGGCTGCGAAGCGGGGATTTTGCGAAAAGCCGGGGAAGAACGACTGGCAGCATCACACTCGTCGCGCTTTCCCTCTAAGTCATGTCATCTCCAGTTGCAAAAGGCAGCCCTTGAGTGGAAATTGGACTCTGTATTCTGCGGCAGGCTGGGAAGGTAATCAGTTTGCACCTTCCCGCGATTCTAAAGTTGAACGTTCCTGCCATTTACGCGAATCACCTCCGACAATCATTATTCCCGTGACTTGGACGTCTCGCTCATATAACATTATCATGCAAATCTGAGAGACAGCTGCATCGGCTCCTGTCCACCCCCACGGAGACTCACATTTGACACCTCGTTTATTTGAGGCGCCAGTAGCCGGCTCCTGTCGCACATGTTCAACGGGCAGAGTCTTACCTTGTAACAAAGTTGTTGGAGGTACGGATGTGCTGTTGTTTCTAACAGTGCATATAATACATGCACTGTACATTGCAGAGTTGACTTAATTATCGACACTGTGTCGTTTCTCGATTGTTGTCACGTGACCAACGCGGGGATTTCGCGCGGTTTCGCGTGTTTAATGGTCTCCGCCCCTGTTTTCGCGTTTTATGCGGGACGTTTTCCGACTGCTACGCGCCTGCGCCATTTCAACATCGCGATCTCAATGTGCATACGACTAGGAACAACCACTCCGAACAAGACAAAATTGTACCACGCCCAACACCAATAGCCACGCTGTCTCACTCCGCTCATTTTGTCTCCTTAATCTTGCCACATCTCAACACAATATGGCCGAAGACGGGCCCAAGAACGTCTTTGGCTCCTGCTCGTTTGCTTTCGTGCCTGGCCGTTCTCTGCTTCCCAAGACCATTGCTGAAGTACGCCTCCTATGTCCTGCCCGTTGCTATCTGCCTTCGATCCATGGATCTCTAACACATCCCAGCTTTCCCGGACAGTGCAAAAGTATGGCGGAATCGCGTTGGAACCGGAGGCGGATGGCAAGCTATCCCTGGCTGAAGCGACACACGTCATCTCGAACTCGATCGACTTTGAACAGTACAATACCGCCATCGATATGATGCTTCCCGTCGTCACGTCGTCTTGGCTTACACACTCACTTAGCCGCGGAAAACTGGCCCAGATCCGCCCCTTCTCGCCCGACCCGCGCATGATTTTCTCGTCCGTCAACTTGACCTGCGCCGACATCCCCGTGGGCGACAAGGAGGCCATTACCGGCGCAACCCTGGCCCTTGGCGGCATGGAGTCCAAGGACTTGACGCGTCTGACGACTCATATTTGTGCTCTGACCATGGACCACGACAAGTGCAAGGAAGCCGTTGCCAAAAAGCTGCGGTGCCTCATCGTGCTGCCGCATTGGTTCGACGACTGCTTCAAGCTCGGCAAGAAGATCGACGAGACACCCTACCTTCTCCCTGACCCCCCAATCTTGCGGAGCATGAACGGTACGGGCGGCACTAGTAGCTCCATCGGTAGCAGTGCACTCGGTGAGGGTGAGGCTGATGACGACCGCGTGCCTATCCCGCAGAACCTGGACCTCGAGGGCGCCACAACACCCCTACCCGATACGCCTCCCAACCTTGGCTGGCGCAGCAACTTGACCGTCTTCCAGAACAAGCGGGTCATCCTTGCCCAGGACATCAACATTGGCGTCCGGTTCCGTGCGGTGGTTGTCGATCTGATCAAGCGGGGCGGCGGACGCATGGTAGCCGACGATGACGTGGGCGCGTGTGACATGTACATCTGCCACTACCGTGACGGCGATAACTACGTACGAGCGGCCCAGGCCGGAAAGGACATTGGCAACCTCGCCTGGCTGTTCCACATCATTACCAACAACGAGTGGTGTTCGCCGCTGCGCCGTCTCCTTCACTACCCCGTCCCGCGGAACGGCATTCCCGGGTTCGAAGATTTTGTCATCACGCTGTCGAACTACGGCGGTGAGGCCCGCATCTACCTCGAGAACCTTGTCATCGCTGCCGGTGCTAAGTTCACCAAGACGATGCGCATGGACAACACGCACTTGATCACGGCGCGGGACAACAGCGAAAAGTGCGAGGCTGCACGCGACTGGAACATCCAGATGATCAACCATCTCTGGATCGAGGAGAGCTACGCGCGGTGCCAGGTGCTGAGCGTGACCAACCCGCGGTACACGACGTTCCCCGCGCGCACCAACCTGGGCGAGGTTATTGGCCAGACGTTCTTTGACGAGTCCAGATTGCGGGCTCTCTTTTACCCGGGTGGTGCCAACGAAGAGGAGATGGAGGACGACGACGACGACAACGACAACGTGGCCGTCAAGGGCACAGGAAAGAAAGGCAACAAGAAGGGGGCCGGCCGGCCCAAGAAGAAGGTGCTCGTCGAGGAGCCGCAGGTGCTGGCGGACGTGTCTGGGGCGCAGAACGGCCAGCTGAGTGACGACGATGAAGATGATTTGTCCACATCCAGCGAAGCAGAGCCTGATGCAGCAAATGACGTAGCCCTCCCCCGGCGAGCAGCTCGGAATACCGCTAAAGCACCTGTGGCCACTCCATCCCGGCCACGAAAAGGCGCGCAGCAACTCGACAAGGAAAACGAGGGCACGCCGTTAGTTGTGGGCAGTGCCAGTCGGAGTGCCAAGGACAAGGCCTTGACGAAACTACACGGCCTTGCCCCCGACATCGCGCTCTACGAAAAGGAAAAGAAGCGATCAACACGGGATGGAAACGCGCCATGGGGCGGCAAGCGGGCAGCCGACTTGGTGGACAAGGAGAAGGAGAAGCTGGAGATGTCGCGGAAGAAGAGACACAGCTCCGACGTAGAGAGTGAGGGCACGGATTCCGAGGATGCTGAGCGGCCGGCCAAGAAAAGCCGGCCATCGCTGCCGCCGGTACAGATGCGCGTCGTTCTGACGGGCTACCAGCGGTGGGTGCACCACAGCGGCAAGGAAGAGTCCGATCGGGTAAGTAGATACGAACACAAGGGACGGTACCTAAAAGGGACTTTTCATACTCATACCAGTACTGACAACATCTGCAGAGGAAACTACGTGGCATGGGCATCCAGATTGTGCAGGACAACCAGCCGTGCGACTTCTTGGCCGCGCCATGCCTCGTGCGTACGATGAAGTTCCTCAAGACCTTGGCACGGGGGCCAGAAGTGCTGAACGCTCAATACATTACCGACGTTCTCGAAAAGGGCAAGCTTCTTCCAACCAACGACTACCTGCTGCGCGACAAGGACGGCGAGGCCCGCTTCAACGTCAACTTGCGCAAGGCACTGGCGCGTGCGCGCGCCCACCGCGGCCGCTTGCTGTGGCATGTTGTTGTGTACTGTGCCGCCGACATCAAGAACGGACCCGAAAGCTACCGCGAGATCGCCGAGGCCAACGGTGCCATCTTCAAGACGTACCGGGCGCACAGCGGCACGACCATCAAGCCGACGCCACCTGACGAGGACAACGGGCAGCCGCCCGAGCCTGTGTACCTGCTTACGAGTGCGTCTCCGCCGGAGCGCGCGTTGTGGCCCAAATTTGAGCAGATGGCGCGCGACGGAAACATGCTGCCACGCGTAGTGGCACCGGACTGGTTGTTGGACGTGGCCATGCGGCAGGAGGTTCTATTTGACGACCACTACCTGGCCGAGAACTTTTGGGGCAAAGGGACATAAAGCAGCATGCGTGTGACGGGAATCTTACTAGAATTGGCGTTTTGCTCTATTGGATTTACTATCTGTGGCTGCATTTCCAGGTGGCGTGATTATTGGCGACCTTTACCCTCGTCGTGTTTTATATTGTCTTTTTATTCAGCCCAGGTCACGTAACACACATCCTTGTTGTACATCTTCATCGCGAACAATAATGTCCCAAGACTGAATTTTATCTCAGATGCTTCCTCTCACTTGCTGCCCATCGCCACGCTTCTATCACGCTGCCTATGTACAATTAACAAGGAAAACACACAAACGTCCCATTCGTCTAGAAAAACTTGACGCCAAGCGAATCTTCCTGGCCAAACACCTGCGCCTTGCCGCGCTTCACCAGCGTCGCCAACGCCCGCTGCAGCACCACCGGGTCCAGCCCGTGCAGGTCGCTGCCGCGCGTCCCGTCGCCCGCCGTCAGCTCGTACAGCGTCAGCACGCTGCCCCGCTGGGCTGTCTCGTCCACAAACGCCTCGATCGCAGCAGCCCACTCCTCGGGTGTCTTCCAGAAGACGTAGCACGAGAAGGGGTCGGCGGGCGATGTGGTGGTTGATAAGGAATGGGAGGCTGACGACGACGATGTGCCAATCACCTCGATCCGCCCTTGCCGCCTCAGATCTTCAAATACCTCGCGCACCTCGCGTGCCGGCATCGTGCGGTCGATGGTGCGGTTGCGGAACAGATCGGGCGCGTAGTAGGCGACGCTCGGTGCCTCGCCATCGGCATCTGCGGTTGCGGCAGCCGCCTCGTCCCCGTCTACCCGCACCGGCCCTGGCGATGAAGACGACGACGACGATCCGCCAGTGGCATTGCTGCCGGTCGGCGGCGCAACGACAAGTCGAAATATGCGGTAGTGGCGGCAGTAGGCCAGGACAAGCGACGACCACTTGTCGAGCTGGGCGCGGCGGGTATCGAGGTTCGGCTGGAGAGTAAACATCGGCGGGTAGTTGTAGTAGTGGGGGAACTTGAAGGCGGACGATGACGACGCAGACGCCGGCGCCTTGGAGCTCTGTATCGGTGTTGCTGGTGATGGTGATGAGACCGACGGCGATGCCGCGCCGGACCTCGCTACCCGGAAATCCTGTGCCATCGTGACGTGGAGTGTGAAAGAGCAGTGTGGTAGGAAGATGGAGACTGCGTCAGTGCTCTTATAGGAAGAAAGCACAGGGCCTGGAGAGGCGTCTGCTTTGGCGATTGTGATGCCAGTCGACGAGATGTCGTCACTACAAATAATATTGTTGTCCGGGTACTACCAACTTGTGGTATTGTTCGTTTTGTCTTTTTTTGGCCGCTGTGAGATATACAATTAAGGTTTCCAAGTCATGTGACAACTATGTGGACTGAGATCTTGCTTCGCCCGATGCTGATATAATTGACGGTCCAATGCGTCGATGTTGTCTGGAGATTGCTGGCTGCTCGGAGGGGTTAGTTGAGCTGTTGAGCTTCCTGGTAGTGGGACAGTGTGGTGACAGTGTGTCACACGGTGGTGTTTTACCAGTGACATGAAAGTGCTACGAAGCTCGCAATAAATGTCATTTGTTTCCAACATATCTGATTGTTTAGCTATGTGTTTTAATATTGTATCATAGAATAGAGTTGTTTGAATTTTTGAATTTTATTTCCTTTTTTCCTTATTATTTAAATTTATTACGAATTCAGCGTGTTATAAATACATGAATATAACAACAAGAACAAAATAAAAACTAAAATAACGAAGCATGTAACAAAGTACATCGTTAGACAAATAAACAATTCATTTTCCATAAATTGACATAAAGGTGACAACATCAGAAACTTAGATGTATTCGCGAATTTTCTCGATTTTCAAAAACTCGACAGCCTCGTCCACAGCGTTTTGGAAGACAGTGGTATATGAAACAGGCTTCTTAAGGCGCCCTCCCACGGGCACAATAGTTTGCTTCTTGTGTTCGTTTAGTTGTTTAAAATGCACTACGCAAAATTCAACTAACATCCGCTCGCCTTGCCAGTCTGTCCAAATGCATGTACATGATAATATCCCTGTCTCGTCACGAGTCGCCACGTAGGCCAGACTCAGCAACACGGCTCATTCTTTTTAAATGTGCTGAGATCAGTATCCCTGTGTGTGTTATTGCTCGCGCTCTCATCTATATCCCTACTTCTTCTCCTCTTTCTTCTCTTCTGGCTTCGGTGTTGGCAGCTTAAACGTCTCAGGCGTCTTGTCCACACCTGCGCCAATCTGCTCCCATGCGCTTGAACCACCCTCAAAGTTGCGGAAGGCCTGCGTCAGCTCCAGGGGTTCCGTCACAATGCGCTTCTTCTCCTCGTCGTAGCGGATCTCCGTGTAGCCCGTCAGCGGGAAGTCCTTGCGCAGCGGGTGGCCCTCGAAGCCGTAGTCCGTCAGAATGCGCCGCAAGTCGGGGTGGCCCACAAAGAACACGCCGAACATATCGTATACCTCACGCTCAAACCAGTTGGCGCCGTCGAACAAGCTGGTGATGCTGGGAACCGGGGAGGCCTCGTCGGCGTACGTTTTGACTCGGATGCGCGAGTTGTGCCGCACACTCAGCAGGTTGTAGACGACCTCGAAGCGCTGGTCGCGGGTGGGGAAGTCGACGGCCGTGATGTCGCTGACCTGGGTGAACTCGGCAGCAGTGTGGTCTGACGGGTTGGAAATAGAGTTAGTTGGCGGCACAGAAGCTACATGGCATGACGAAAAAAAAAGACAAAAGGCAACCTAGACATACACTTCAAGAACGAAAACACGGGGACGATGGCTGACGGGGCCACGTAAATGGTGAGCTCGTCCTTCCACACCGAGAATTGCTGCACGTACTTGGGCAGCGAGCTCATCAGCCACGCGCCGTACTTGTGCATGTTGTCGGCCATCGCATCGTACTTGTCGGCCGGGTTCGTCAGCGGTGCCTCGAGAGTGCCAACCGCCGGCCGCGGGGCCTGCCGCATGTTGGACGCATCCTTGGGCACATGCACGGCATAGCCGTGCATCCGGCTGCTGGTCGACAGACAACGGGAGGAGGTCGCAGCGACTACGGCGACAGATGGGGATGTGGTGCTGGGCGCCGAAGGCTTGGTGGCCCGAAGAGCCGAGGCGAGTGCCCTGCTCCGGTAGACTCTGCTGGCCATTGTGAATGTGTGTCGGTGTTTGGAGGGCGTGAGAGGGCCTGTCGGTATCGACGGACGAAGGCGACGGGGCAATTGAGACGTCGGATCGCGCTCAATTGGGTCTATCCTAGGCCGATGCAGTCGTCGTGGAAGCGCGGACAGCTGTTCTGGTGGGAAATAGAGCCGTTGATTTTGCTCACTGGGGGATGCGGTATAATTTGCTTCGCTGTGATTGGCTGCTAGGCTCGGAAGCCGGATGATTGTATTTTCGACTCCGCATATCTGGTAATTACATAAAGGAAATTGCATTTATCGGGACCCGTCCACTGACCGCCAAATACAAAATCAAGGACCTCCTGCAGCTCTTTCGCTGCCAGCTCGTTGCTCCGATAAATGAAACCTTGTCGGCCGCACGCTGGAGGACTCTCGGGACTGTTGCTCCTCTCTGCCTGATGCGGCGGCCACATGCAAGCCGTGCAGCCAGGCTGTGACTGCCTGAATACGCGCTGTCTTTTGGCTGCAGCAACCTCCAACCGTGACTTGCCACGTGCCGCTGAAAACAGAAACTAGTCCATATACGTACTAGCTCCTTTACGGCGCTTGCTCGGACAGTTGTTGACGTCCAGTCGCCTTAGTGCACATGGCCACCTGCAAGCTGCCTGTTGGGCGGTAATAATGCTGGCGGCAAGGGCTCTGGCAGTCTTTAGCCTTCTGCCAACTCGCCTCAACGCCCCCACTGGCCGCCCCAGCTGCTCCGTAATACAGCGCCCGTAAAATTTGCCCCATCTTGACGAGACGCCATCTTGCCCAATTTTCTCTGTCCCCATCTATTCCCGACTTTTTCGTCTCCTTTTCTACTTTCCAACTCTACCAAGCAACCCGTTTTTTCTGACCTCAGCAAGTCCTCGCATTGTTCATATCCCAGGGCGTTTACTACGGACATATTTCTTTTCTCGCTAGCATCCATTTGCGTCACCTTTCCGCCTGCCGGACCAGAGCTTCGACCTTGTCCCTTTTCTATTTCACATTTCGTGATTTCTACCAGATTCTTTCGATTTTGGCCTCTTGTAATTCACGCGCGTCGCGACTCGACCACCCGCTCTGCGAGCCTTCCGACATCGCCAGCTCGACTGAAACACCAATCCTTTCGAGTTTGAGACGCCTCTGTCCTCACCTCAACCGTCGATTCGCGCCTCATTTACCTCTCACCTTCGGACGCGCCGTGTTCGACCGCACCTCTCACCAATCCTATCACAATGGCACCTCAAGACACCTTCATCGACGATGAGGAGGACACCTGGTACGCATCGCCACCCTGCAGACTGCAGACCTCCACCATCGACTGCACCCATACTTCCCTGTACCTGGACTGCCTGCTAACTGCTCTTATTTCAATAGCCCCCTCTGCATCGAGGAGTTCGATTTGTCCGATCGTGGCTTTCGACCGTGTCCGTGCGGGTACCAGATCTGCCAGTTCTGCTTCAACAACATCAAGCAGAACATGAACAGTTTGTGCCCTGCATGTCGGCGACCCTACGACGAGAAATCCATAGTCTGGAGGGTCGTGACGGCCGAAGAGTATGTCGACCCAACCCACCCACCTCCCTTCATCCCCTCCTCCACCTTTGGTACAATGGGATATACTGACTTTTTTACTTTTTTACTGTAGACATGCCGAGTTCCGCTCCAACATCCAGAAGAACCAGAAGAAGCGAGCTCTTGAACAGCGCCAAAAAGAGGTGCAAAAGCGCGAGGCCGAGAAAGAGAACCGCAAGAACCTGGTCGGCGTTCGTGTCGTACAGAAGAACCTTGTGTATGTAACGGGTCTGAACCCGACCGTGCGCGAGGATGAGCTTCTCAAGACACTTCGAAAACCCGAGTTTTTCGGCCAATACGGGAACATTCAAAAGATTTCGATTAGCAACCGAAAAAGCCCGGACGGAACCCCTTCTCTCGGCATATACGTAACGTTCGAAACGAAAGAAGACGCGCAGCGATGCATCCAGGCAGTTAACGGCTCGTTGAACGGTGAGCGCCCCCTCAAGGCCCAACTTGGGACGACAAAATACTGCTCCGCGTGGCTCCGTCACGAGCAGTGCACCAACCGCCAATGCATGTTTTTGCACGAGCTTGGTGACGAGGAGGACAGCTACACCCGTCAAGACTTGTCATCAATGAACAGCATCAATACGCAGAGGCCTTTGGGGGCTTCGTCGCGGTCCGCTTCTCGGCAACAGAGCCATCCCATCCCGATTCCTACCTCTGCGTCGCAACCTATGATCCGCTCTTCTAGTCGAGACGAGTCCGAAAGCGGTGATTCATCGGCTCTTCCTGCCGCTGCCAGCTGGGCGCGAACGTCGCAGGTTCGCAGCCGCCGTGGTAGTCATGCGACCAGCGGTGCGGCCCCCAGTCCGGCCATCTCGATGTCGCTGCCTGTGACGACCGAGTCTGCTGCCGAGGCCGTTGAAGATTCCCCGACTCTGGAAGAAGCCACTGCGATAACAGCATCGTCTTCGCGAGCCCAGGGCAAAGCCCCTGTGGACGCCAACGTTTCTTCAGCCTCCCCGGTGACCAGTGGCAGCTCAGGCTCGCAGTCTGTCTCTGCCAAGGAAACGAACGAGAAAGACCCGGCCGCTAGCATCTTTACCAGTCTTTTGCTGGCGATGGGCAACTGCCCACTTCCTTCAACCTTTTTGATTGACGGACTGACGCTCAACTCTTTCCCTCCCTTGTTCGATCCCCGCGGTGGCGAGAAGCGACGTGCACTTCGCGACGACGAGAGCCGCCTGGATGCGGAGCAGGATGATCAGGCGACGGACGCGAGAGAGCCGTCTGAAGGCGAGCCGGAAAGCAGTGGTAGCTTGGCTTTGGGCGGTGAGCCTGAGGATCGCGAGCACACTCGCAGCACCCACGGATTCGACCAACGGCGGGGCGGACTGCCTCCCCCAATCCAGCGGTCGAATACCGAGAGCCTTTTCAACTCCTTTGGCGCGAACTACCTGCCCACCGCGAACCCCGGCACCATTGGCAACCGTTCCATGACCCCACAGCAGTCGCTCTACTCCCGCACCCCCAGCAGCTTTGCGGATCAGCCGCCCCCAGGCATTACACAGTCGCAGGCGAACCTGTTCCAGGGACAGGTGCAGAACCGCCAGACCTCGAGATATGGATTCGGTGGCGACAATGCTAGCGGCAGCAGTACTACGATTAAGTTGGCTGCGAATCCGCGCATTCTGTCGCAGCAGTCATCGATGCTACCGCAATCTCTGCATTCGCAGCAGAGCGCACCCTATTACGCTGCCTCCATGCCCGGCCCCCCTCCGGGACTGAAATCGACCGGCACCCCGCCGGCGGTGTTCGGCCAAAGTTTCGCAAACACCAGCTTCGGCGGTGCCCCAAAGGATACGAGCCAGCTGCTGCAGGACATTATCCGTGGACGAGGTGGTGGCAGCGCTGGCAGCCAGGCGCACGAGGCAGGCAAGCGTGAGTACATGATTCCCTCCTTCCTTTCCCAGTACCCATCGTCCGGCTCCTCTACTCCCGCTCCTCCTTCTGGTTTCCCGGCGTCGCCCTACGGCCCTCCGCCTGGGGGATTCCAAGACAATGGATCCAAGCAGAAGAAGAAGGGGAAGAAGCACAGACATGCTAACACTTCCTCCTCTGGGGGGAGTGGTCTAGTGGAGCTTGCAGACCCGAGCATCCTGCAAGCGAGACTGCCTCACCAGCAGAGCAACGCCGGCAGCGGCCTGGGACTTTTTGGGAGCCAGGCCCAAGGTGGGTACAACCCGAGCATGATGTACAGTGCTGGCTACCCGAGATGGTGAGGGGGTGAATGAGGAGACGCAAAAGCAAGCCGAAAACGTTTTGGTTTGAGAAGGGGTGGCCAGCAGCCAGCAGGGGAGTGATTTTGAGAGGAAGACCCGAGACAAAGCAGACGAGAAGCGAGAGACGAGAGGCCCTGAAGGCTCCCAACAGCAAAACGCGGTTTTTTGATTTCTTTTTCCCGACTGTTTCAGTTTTTTCTTATTCCCCTGTCTACAATACCCGTTTTGCATCTCTTGCCCATTTGTCCTGTTATTGCATTTCAATTTGTTTTGTTATATTTACGTCATGTCTCCCTTTCTTGTGCTGCAGATGGCGTATTGAGCGAGGCCATTCTGTTTGTTTTTTCCTCTTGTTCTGTCTGTTTGGCGATATTTTGCGTTTCTTGATGTTCGAATCTGCACGAGGCGTTTGTCCCTATTCCCCCACAGCACAAAGCCAACAAGTTGAGAGGCGTATCTTTATTGTTTATTTTAGTCCTGTTTTGCATTGGAGGGCTTTTTGCATTTGGGGTTGCGGGTCGCGCGCAGAAAGAACCAACCTCGAGAGGCGAGACGACGATGTCAACGACCATCACCAACACTGCCACCATCTTCACCTTCACCTTGACCATCTTCCTTCTTCTTGTTGCCTTCTTTCAACTGTTTCGGCCTCGGACTGTTTCTTCTTCTCTTCAGCACCACAACGCCTTCTGAGAGATCTTGCAGAGAGATCGTCGCCGCGACGCCAGGCAAGCCACCGCATCATCGTCTTGCCTCTCGAGGGTTCTTCCTTTTGTTACACAATGTATGTTAACTATCCGGGGCCCAGTTTCGTTTCTGCCTTTTTGTTTCTCTTCTTTGCGGCACTCACCTGTCCTGAAGAAGAACGCAAGCGGGGGGCGTGACTTGTTCCGCCTGGCACTGTTCCAGTCTCGACGGGGCCCGCGTTTTAAAAAAAGAAGCAAGATAATCTTTTTTGTTCTCTATACCCTCTACGACAAACAAGTCTTTGTGTGCCAAATGTAACCACGGCCCTCCGACTTTGGTCAACGACAATTCAGCACGCCCCCTGAAGGACGAAGAAGGAACAGGAAGAAACAAGACGACAAGACGACAAGAAGACAAGGAAGAAGGACAAGAAGGACAAGACGAAGAACCCGGCGACGACCATGGCTGCTGCGACGTTCTTTCTGCGCCGCACATTTCCTTCCCCGTCAACCCTCTCCAACGTTTCATGTCACATACGGGGTCGAGCTCTTCTTGTACGAAACGCCTTCGCTTATCATGTATTTCTGTATCTCTTATTCCTGTTGCTCTGTAGTAGGTTTGGGGTTGCCGCTGTTCTGTTTGCCTCAGGCACCTGTTTAGCTAGGATGCTGGACCTTTGGTCCTTCAGTCTCTCGGTCTCCCTGGTCTCTCAAGTCTCGTCCACTTTAGTCTCGACTTCTTGTCAAACCGCTCCCCACAAACCGTGGTGTGGCGTGTGGTTTCTGGCACTCCGTTTAAGGCGCGTTTCTCAAAGGATAAACTAACGTATGCTGTTTTTCCTTCTAGATGACGAACTTCCAGCTCTGGACGATGTAGTGTCCACCGTTGATGCGCTCGTTTCCGATGAGCCGGCCATGATGCCGTACCCATACGGCATCGACTCGCCGCTCCGTTCTGGCACGCCCTCGTTCCCGCCCGGATTTGGCCATATGCAGCCGATGCAGCACGCGACGCCGCCACCGCCGCCCGGCTTCGGCAGACCGATGACGCCAGCAGCCTCGATGACGCCCGTGACCTCGATGACACCGAGCAACCTGAGCACCCAGGCATTGCCCAAGCCGCCCGTTCCAGTTGGCCCCATCGTCGATCATGCTCTAACCAAAGAGAGGTCGGAAACGACGTCACTTCCGCGAAAGGAAGAGAAGCAGCAGCCGGCAGTCCCCCAAACTGGAAAGAAGGCGACGCGCGTTGCCAGTCTCGCCAGCAACAGCAGTGCGACAACTGCTCCCGTGGAAAGTGGAAAAGTTATGAAGGCGCCCGAAGTGGCCCCGACCCTGACTCATGTCGCACACGAGGCGCCGACGCCTGCTCCCACGCCGGCGACACCTCTCAAACTTACGAAGAAGAACAGCGTACTTCAGGACGAGGACTTTCCCGCTCTGGATGCGGCTGCTGCATCTGCAACCAAGTCCGCCGCAGCCGCGCCTGTTTCGCAGGTCCGGGCGTCGAAGCCATCCACTCCCGTAGGAAAGAAGTCCAATGACAAGAAGCCTGTTCCTGCTGTTTTGAACCTTGCGGCAACGGCCAAACCAGCTGCGGCAAAGGCGGCGGAGGCTAGCCCGGCCGTCAGTGACAAGAATACGACCGCAGACATGGCGTCGGCGTTCCCTTCGTTACCCACGCCTGCTGCGCCTTGGTCGCCGGCCGTCCGCGCGGCCCCGCCCAAGACACTCCGCGTGGTGCAGCCGGCCAAGACCGAGTCAGGCCCTGCGCCTGTCTTGAGTCTGACGGCGATCACGGCAGCTGAAAATGCCAAACTCGCGGCGGCGTCGACTGCTGCATCGTCGTCGTCATCGTCCACGCCCGCCCTGACATCTGCCGTTCTTGCCAACCGGCAGGCATCTGTGTCGAACCGTCCCAGCACGCCCGTGAGTGAGGTAGTGTCTGTCTCGGACAACGCGTCTGTCGTGTCGGCGTCAATTTCTGCCTCACGGGCGGGATCACCACCGCCGCCGCAGCCGACCCGCATTGGTTCGGCCGCCGTCCGCAACACCACCAAGAGCCAGCAGCGCAAACAACGCAAGCAGGCATTGAAGATGGATGCTGCGGCCGTGGTGGAAGCCGCCACGACGACGAGTACCTCGTTTGCTGGCCAGGCGCTGAACGAGCACGACGAAGAGGCTGTCGAGATCGCGCCGATCATGGGCCGCAAGAAGAAGCAGAAGAAGGAGAAGCCTGCTCCGACCCCAGTTGTGGCGGCACCCGCTGCGACGCCTGCCGCAGAGTCTTCTACGGAAACGGCTGCCTCGGCCAAGGTACCAAAGGAGCAGAAGGAGTCGAAGCAGACGGAGGCGAAGGACGCAAAGGAGACGAAGGAGCGCGCCAAGCAGTCATCCGCTGCTAAGAAAAAGGACGATGCTAAGGAAAAGGCCGCTGCGGCGGCGGCCGAGGCTGCTGCTAAGACCTCGACCGCAGAGACGGCGAAGAGCACGACGAAGAGCACGACGAAGAAGAGCGGCTCTGCTTCCAACACTGCACCTGCGGCCGCTACCACCGAGACGCCTGCTGAGTTGACGCCTTCGACCGACTCGGCCAATGCCGCTGTGTGTGCGCCTCTGGCGCACGTGCAGAAGCTGTTTGAGAAGGAGCAGGAGGTCCTTCGGAAGGTGCTTCGCGAGGCTGGCGAGGTGGCGGGTTCGACTACGCTTTCTGTTATGCGAGAGGACGATGCGCCTGTGAACCTCAGTGACGCCCAGACGCAACCCGGTGGCTCGATCCGATCCATCGCGCTGGACATGGCCGCCCGCGGCCTGATTGACAAGCACCTGGAGAACATCTCGCTGCTGCAGCCATTCGTGACACTGGCGCAGTCCCGCAGCGTGCCGCGCAGCTCGGTTATCAAGGGCGACGCGCTGCTGCCGCCCGACGTGCTCTTCACCAAGGAGGACCTCGACGACATCGTCGCAGGCAAGGCTGTCCGCAAGTACGTCGACGAGGTGCGCGTGCTCGCGACGCCCAACGGCGACTGCCTGCGCAATCTGACGGAGGCGGAGGAGAACCGGTTCATGACGCTGCAGCAGCGGCTTGGCAACAGCTTGGCGTCGCCGCTCAGCTACATGCACGCCCGGTACGAGGAGATGGGCGGGTTCGCGCTGATTGCGAAGCGTGCCGTGCCTTGTGGATTGCCGTCGTACTACCCGGTGAAGGCCCTTGCGCCGGCGGCCATGGCGGGCCAGATGCTCTTTGACCCGATGTCCAAGATCCAGCGCGAAGAGGCCGTCTATTGGATCAACCAGTACGTGCTGCCTCGGCTGAACCTGCTGCCGCAGAGCGAGGCTGCGTCGTGGCAGTCCATGCTGGTGGATACGGGCGTGCCGCAGGCGATCGGCACGACGACGCTGGCACCCTGGATCTACCACACGCCGGAGATGCGTTACGGCATGCCGGCCAGCGGCTATGCGGCGAGCAGCCTCCCTGCTAGCAGCATTGTCACCAATGGCAATGGTGCGGCACGCGGCGCTCCGACCTCCAACACACTAGAACATGGCCGCCAGCAGCAGGGCGCCGGCATCAACAACAACAACAACGCGGACGGTGCACCGGCACTGGAGAGCAACGGCATCCACAGCGACTCCGCCCTGACGTCGACCAATGGCTTGAGCAGCGGCGGCCGCAGTCATTCGGCCCGCCCGAGCAGCCGGTCGTCCGGCCTGATTGTGGACCGCGACAGCGTCGACCTGAAGAACGACCTCGAGAGCTCTGTGCACGCGATGAGTGTCGAGGACGCCGAGCGGTCGCTGGTCGAGGCGCGCCGCGAAGCTAAGATCTACGAGCGCGCGCTGATCCAGCTCATCAAGATGAACGGGCGGCTTTTGCTGATGAGCGACGAGGGCCTGGCCAAGATCGCCGGCGGTCCGACGTCGGGCGGGCCCGGGTCCGAGGCCGGATCGTCCAACCGGTCGTCGCCGGCCCCGATGGCTGCCACGGCGTATTGACTCGCGCGCACGAGAAGCACGAGACGCACGAGACGCACGAGACGGCTGAGCGACCGGAGCACGGCGACGCTGCAGACGACTGGCCGGGTATGGACGGGCCTGTCAGCGACGCTGTTGGTGCTGGGGTGGCTGCTGGGCGGTGTGATGGGTGTGGCGTTGGGCCTGGCCGGGTGGGCGGGCGTTGTGATGGGGCAGTTGGCCGGGCATGTGTGGTCTCAGGTGGCGGCCAAAGGGGCGACGAGCAAGGACAGCCGCCAAGAATCTTCGGCGGTTGCCATCGTCGTAGAATGACGGCTGCTTGGAGTCAAAGGCCGGTGTAGGAATAGTTTTTTTATCATCGTTTTATTAGGATTCCCCTGTATTGTTTACTACTGTGTACCACTACGATATACTCTCAAGCAGCATAGCATCAAGCAACTGCTTGTTGACGGGGTGCCACGACAAACGTTGTGCGCTACCAGTGACCTGTAATTGTACACTCTGAAGTGACTTCACTTCCTCCCACAATCTTCTCATCCATGACGTGTGTCTCAGTACTCCCTACACCTTCTCTGGAGTCTCAACAATGCAGGCCTTTGTGCGCACGAAGTGGTCCGCTTGTCATGCTTTGTTATCACGGTCTCGATGCCAAGGCCTTCACGGACGATGGACTGCAGACGACGTTTGTCAACATTGCAAAGCCCTTAAAAAGCATCAAGGATCGACACAATTCACACTCTGCGCCAAGTACGGACAGTGGCAAGTGGTGCTTGTCTATTGGGCGCCTGTCCCGTCGAGGACAATCAATAAGCTCTAACACCTGCCCGGCGCGTATAGGAGAGAGACAAGGCCGCGTTTTGGCGTAGGCGTGTGGGAACGGGGAGTTGGCGACTGTTCGCGCCTCGTGTGCTTCAAAACTGTGGCTGTCCTGCCGCCCTCGTAAGCAATCACTAATAGGCGTGTCAGCGGGCAGTCAGCGGTGGCTTCAGCGCAGAAGACGGCGGGACGTTCGGCGCCTCCGCTAACAAGCTGCAGTTGGAGCCACGAAAGGCGACTTTCTACAGGACTGGAAGTAAGATTACCAACAGCTAGGCTCGCCAGTGCCCAAAACAGTTCAGAAATAAGCACAGCTCTCGCAAGGACCAACAGCCCTGTTTGGCAGCAATTAAGACATTGGTGGGGCTTGGCGATATGCCTCCCAAACTGTGGCGATTACGGAACACCAAACACGCCTGACTGAGTGCGGCGTTGGCTCAATCCGGCAGACTGTCAACTCAAGTGAACAATCCATGGCCGGCTCGTCACGGCTTTCAATCCGTAGCAGCAACCTGCACGTAATATGCATGGACATGACTTGATGCTGCGACTACGAAATGTGGATGAGGCTTTTAAGAGAGGGAAACAGGCGAGCGGTACAGTTCATTACTGGCTCTTTGTCGGCATTGGCATGGTTCTTTTCCACGGAGACGGCGAGATACACGAAATGCGGGCTGTGGGGTTGTCTGGTTGTGTTTCGTTGGAGACAGAGAAACACAAAGAAGTGTTCAGCAACTCGTTGTGAATGGGCCGCTCGGATGTAAGTAGACAAAGTGACGTCACGGGCGGGGCCGGTGCACTCTTAGCAGCATTCGGCCGGCCAGCGGCCACTCGGAAACGGCGTGGGCCTGGCGACGCTGCCCCTTCCCTGTGGAGATGCTGAAATGGAACTGACGGCCAGTGAAGTGCCACTACGAAGTACGTCGCTGCGGCGGCAGAGGAAGGAACGGGAAGCAGAAAAAGAAGGGGCATGAGGGATGAACGTCGCGAAAGAGAAGGAGCATTGGGCCATCAGGACCATCAGGGCCATCAGGGAGCGCACTCGAGCACGACTCGCTCTCTACTTTGCTTGCGCCCAATGTTTCTTGGCCGGCCTCCTTCCGATAAAACAAAACTTTGGGGATCCTAGTCACCCCACCTGCCCACCCAAGCCCCCCTCACAGAACATCGCGCGCCTTCCGTCTAGAGAGTAAGTGGCCGTACCGCGCGTAAGGGCCTTTTTCTATTCCCTGCTTGGAAGGTATCCTCCCTCCTCCCCTTGTTCCTCCGCAGCTTATAAAGGAACCGTAGATCCCCCTCTTTATTTCTCTCTTCATTCTCGCTTCTCTTCTCTCCAGTTGACTTTCATCTTCACAAGTCTCACCTTTCACGCCATCTGCCATTAGCCAATACCTTGTTCGCTTCCTTGTCCCAATACACAACCACGCCACCATGCCTCAGCAAGCTGCCTCCGCCGAACACCTCAAGGACCTTTTCAGCCTCAAGGGCAAGGTCGTCGTCGTCACGGGCGCCTCCGGACCCCGTGGCATGGGCATTGAGGCCGCCCGCGGCTGCGCCGAGATGGGCGCCGACGTCGCCATCACCTACTCCTCGCGCAAGGAGGGTGCCGAGAAGAACGTGGCCGAGCTGACCAGCAGCTACGGCGTCAAGGTCAAGGCCTACAAGTGCAACGTCGGCGACTACGCGGATGTCGAGAAGCTCGTCTCGGACGTGCTGGCCGAGTTTGGCAAGATCGACGCCTTCATCGCCAACGCCGGCGCCACCGCCAACGAGGGCGTGCTGGACGGCTCCGTCGACGACTGGGAGCGCGTCATCCACACCGACCTGAGCGGCACCGCCTACTGCGCCAAGGCCGTCGGCGCGCACTTCAAGCAGCGCGGCACGGGCTCCTTTGTCATCACGGCGTCCATGTCGGGCCACATTGTCAACTTTCCCCAGGAGCAGACCTCGTACAACGTCGCCAAGGCTGGCTGCATCCACCTGGCCAAGTCGCTGGCCAACGAGTGGCGCGACTTTGCGCGCGTCAACAGCATCTCGCCCGGCTACATCGACACGGGCCTGTCCGACTTTATCGACCAGAAGACCCAGGACCTGTGGAACAGCATGATCCCCATGGGCCGCCCCGGCCTGGCCAAGGAGCTCAAGGGCGCCTACGTGTACCTGGCGTCGGACGCCAGCACGTACACGACGGGTACGGACATTATCATTGACGGTGGCTACACGGTGCGGTAAAGCCGCTGCGAGAGACAGATACCCCCTCTTGAGTTGGACGATGAGAAACGAAATTGACTCACGCCATATGATGGGTTTTTGGAGAAGGTAAAAAACCAAAAAGAGATACACATACAATTGAGATTTGAATACGAAAACAAAATAAAAAACTATCCGGCATATGAAACTGAAAAGCCAAGGCAGACGTGGCTGATATTGATGTACTGCAAAGTGACGAGCCATGCTGTGCGTGCTGACTGCAACAATACGGGTGGACAAAACGCCAAGTACGACCAACATATGCAAAAAGCGCGCCTTCCCATTGCTTTTGTCGAGATTATGCACGTGGGAGCCCTTCGATTCACAGCCGTCTTACCCCATGCCACTGATGTCACTTCTGCATGGGCTCTTTATCCTACGCCGCCGGCTGACCCTGCTTGCGGCGCCAGGCCGCGGCCGACCGCGACTTGGGGTACGTGCGCGCCACGTCCTCTTCGGTAAAGCGCATCGTCAGCCGCCGCAGCCATGCCGCACGCTCGTTGAGCGTCATGCGGCGCTGCTCGGGGCCCAGGGGCACCAGGCGCTTGGCCAAGTAGGCGTAGTCCTGGAACAGGATGAGGCGCAACGAGATCTCGAGGTAGTCGATGCCGAAAAAGACGAGCCCCTGCTCGGCGGCGTACTGGCGCTTCTGCGCGACAAAGGCGCGGGGGTGCTCGCGCCAGTGGCGGCGCGGGTTGAGGTGGTGGGACGTGTGGTAGCCGTCGTTGAAGCACACGCGGTTGCTGGCAATGTCAATGACGGTGATGCTGGACCGGAAGTCGGAGTCGGGCGCGTCCGGGTCCACAAACGCGTGCTGGCCCCAGTTGCCGAGCATGAGGCCGATGCGCAGAATGACAAACGGCAGCACGAACACAAAGACGGCGGCGCGCTGGTCGGTCACGAGCACATGGTGCGCGCCCGCCAGGACGCTGCCGGCCAGCAGGCCGTAGCTCGACAGCTCCCAGAAGCCGGCGCGCACGCCCTGGCCGACGCGGCGCGTGCGCACAAAGTAGAGCGGCAGGTCAAACCACGCCAGCACGAGGAAGCGGCCGAGGTACTTGCCAAAGTCGACGAGGCTGTCGCGCTGGTACCACATGGTGGACGACAGGTCGTCCGGCCCGTTGGCCTCGACGTGGTGGTGCTTGACGTGGTGGTAGTAGTACGAGTTCCACGTATGGCCGATGAGGGGGTCCATGAGGTACGGAAACAGGCGGTCGACGCCCGCCGTCCACCACTGGTCGCGCCGCAGAATGCCGCCTTGGTGGATGTGCTGGTGCATCATGATGGTGTAGGAGCCAATGCAGCCGAGCAGCACCCACAGCACGTGGGCGATGCCATGCAGCCACGAAAAGCGCCAGAACAGCAGCGCGGCCGCGCTGGGCACTACGGTGGAAAAGTACAGCAGCAGGTGCGTGCAGAACACGACATCCGTCTCGTGCCGCACGATGTGCCGCTGTGCGAAACGGATGTACGGCTCCAGCACGGCGCGGTGAAACCAGCTGTGCGCGGCTGCCGAGACACGCTGGCCGACACTGGCGGACCGGGCATCCGCTGCAGCCTTGCGCCGTGCCGCCACACCCTCCTGCAGGTCGCGCAGGTCGTAGCCGGTGAACACCGTCGGCTCGAAAGCGCTGTTGCCCGGGCTGTTGAGCGCGTCGAGCGTGGCCAGGACAGCATCGTCGGGTGAGCTGACGCCCTTGGGCCGGTCCTTTTGCTTCTTGGCATCCCGCACGGCGTCGGGATCGTGGTCCACTTCGTCGTCCTCGTAATCCCGGTCATCCCGGATGTCCTGGATCAGGTTCTCCAGTACGTACCGGTCGGCCCGAGTCATGAACGGGTCGATCGTGATGAGCTCCTCCGTGGCCGCCATGTTGCGCGTGAGGTGTCAATGGGGGAGGGGGGAAGAGGTGGGACGTGTGGAAGAGTGAGGAAGTAAAGAAGAGTCGCACCGTTGGTGCAGAGGTGACGTTGTATGGTGACGATCTAGCTTGAACTGGCCATGCTCACTTTCGGGAAGGGGGGGGGATCTCAAAATAGAATCAGTCAGTGGAGACGTGATCGAGGTGTCAAGTTGGAACAGTGGGCCAAGAGAAAGAAAAGCTGGGACGCTGGACCGGAAATAGTAAACTTGAAGATTGACAGGTCGAAATGACAGGACAAAGGACAAAGAAGGGCATAGTCAGCGTGACGACGGAGGAAAGTATGATGTTAGCAAGGCAGCGAAAATTGGAAATACTAGGGGCGGCTCTTTCTCGATTTGGAAAGCTTTTCTTATTTATTATGGGGAAGGAGCTAGCTCGACAAGTGCCATAGAGCCAGTAGCTCCAGGGGTTATCAGGAAGGAGCTGTTTACAACGATCTGCGGGTGACGGAAAGGTCTTGCATTCTTTTGGGCGCCAATTGGCAACTGCAACGACATGTTTCAATAGCTGGCCAAAGTAAGAAGGAACGGAATTGAAAAGACGTTCGGCGCTCCGAACTTGTAAGTGGACTGAAGTTGTCCCGGTTTTCAAACACAACCGCATTTCTGATGCTCCACGATGCGAGCCGTGGAAGACATGAAAGTGCGTTCCAGTGTAGGCAGCGACTAAAAAACCAAGCCGGCATATTTATTACAACATCAGAACCCGTTTTCTCCGTCCTGCAGCAACTCGCATTTTTGTGTTTTCCCATGGGTCTCCCCTTCAAACAGGTTTCACGTTGTGAACAAGGAAAAGGCGAAAGTGTGTGGTGCTCCACAGTTGAAAAGGGGTCCAACGGCCAGTCCACAAAACACAGGGCCAAACAAGGAACGCTGGAAATTGGGTGGCATTGTACCTTGATTGTCTTCCAAGACTTATCAAACTGTTGCACCAAGACGATGTATGTATGCAATGTTCTTCTGCAAAAGTAGACTCAGTCCTGTCAGTCGCACAAGTGCCGCACTGCAGCCACAGCTGTGTAGGCATAAAACGCTTCCGTGTGCTCTGACCGCTTGTCTGATTGGCTGCGTTAACCAGATCAATACTCCAAACATTGTAAAGAAATCCAAAGGACAAAGGGCAAAGTGATTTATTCTCTTTACTTAATATCAAAAACGAAAGTCGGAAGGACAAACATGCAGGTGGTTTCCCATCTGCAGCAGCCGCACCTTAGACAAGCACCGGCCAGCGAAATCGCAGCGACATACAACATCGTAGTCAGTCGTAAACAAACACACCATAGCGTTCCCGCCAGCGCGCAGAAAGTCATGCGAAGTACAACATACCTGTATAAGTATGGCCCGCACTCGTACTTTTTCTGGGTGTCGATAAAGCTGGACATTGTTCAATTTCGAGAAGCAGAGATTTTATGCATAAGTAAAACTAGGTCGCAACTGGAGAATCCCTCCTTTCCCATCATTACGGCCGTCAGCCGGTATTTATACACATAGCTACGACGTAGTGCAGTTTAAATGGCCAAATAGGCAAGTGAAAAAGAGGACAAGCGAACAATGAAACAGGGAATCGTTTGTTGACATTAGCAAGTGAAGAAAGCAGCCAGCGCGCCCTTCGTCGTACAACCAAGAGTGAGTTACCCGTCGTGACATGGACAAAGCGTTCCCTTGCGGTTTCTTTACATAGTGTGCTCGACAAGGCCTTAAAGATCTGACTTTCCAACGTGATAGTGATTTGGATTTTGGTAATAATTAAAGCTAGTACGGCCAAACATGGTATAGAAAAAAGGGGTTGGGTAATACGAAGAAGCGACGGAGAACAGAATAAGAAATATCCCAATGGAAAAAATGAAGGAGCGGCCGGCTCAAATAATATACAAGTAGTCTTATAACCCTCCGCACCCTCCACTCACGCCTGTACCGAGGCCTCTTGCGGCGTGGAGCTCCCTTCCAAGTTGGCTTCCGGAGCGACGGGAGCGCTGGTCGTAGCCACGGCTGGAGTCACCACGGCTATCTTGTTCACCGTGTTCAGGAATCCACCACGAAGCAACGCCAGCGGATTGAAACCGAGGTTTTCGTAGTTGGTGGCGCTGCGCAGACCGCTGTCGTCTGCCGCCGGAACGGGTTCGGGCGCGGCGGCAGGCGGGGCCGCAGGCTGGGCAGACTCGGCCGTGCTGTCGTTGTTGGCTGCCGCAGAGGCGTCGCCCTCGGATGCCGTCACAGCAGCCTCCACAGCGGCGGCAGCAGCAGCGGCTGCGGCAACCGCTGCGGCGGCCAAGGTGGCAGGGTTGCCTGCTGAGGCGGTGCTGTTCGCATTGTTGCCCGTAGCGTTGGACGGCGACGATTTCAGCCGGCGCGCCAGCGTCTCCCGCAGCGGGCCGTTCCAGACGGAGCTGTTGGGGACCTCGGTAGCGCCCTCGGCGCCGCCCTCGACGGGGATCGGCTTGGGTGCGACAACCTCAAGCAAGTCGTTGAGGGCGCGCAGCGCAGCCTGGCGCTCGCCGGCAACCTTGGACAGCTCGGCCAAGATCAGACCCGAGAGGCAGATAAAGTAGTGGTGGAACGGGCTGATGGGGGGCCCAGGCGCGCGGCGGGAGACAGCCTTGGCGTCGGTAGCGACAAGGGTCAGCTCGACCACCTTTTTGGTGGCCCAGGAGACGTCGGATGAGAGAGTGGACGGCTGCAGCAGGTACGCCAGCAGGCGGTACTGCCAGTAGCCGAGATGGACGAGCGGGGCGCCCGATTCGGTGACGGAGTCGGGCAGGCCGGCGCGCCACATCTCTAGGCCGAGATCGAGCTGTTGGCCGAGCGGGCCGAGGAAGGCGGCAGAGGACGAGGACGATGATGGGGTTCGCAGTTGGCGAAGGGGATCCTTCGAGACGAGTGCAGGCGCAATGGATGAGCCGAGAAGGTAGGACAGCTTCGTAAACTGGAAGGCGGACTCGCCCAGAAGCGGGCGCAGGCCGGGCGACAGCACAACGGTGCGCAGTGGGATGAGCAGCGGCTTACCGAGCGCGACGGCATTCCAGCGGTCGAGCACGACAAGCGACCACCACGCGCGCAGGCCCAGACGAGCTTCGGAGTCCGTGTCGACGGCGCCGGCCTGGGACGGATCGTCTGCTGCAGCCGCGGAGATGGCGGCGACTGTTGCGCCCAGCTGCTCCTGAGGCAGGTCCATTTCGTAGGAGACGGCGACGGCGCGTGACAGAAGCGCCGTCTTTGAGAGGCCGCCGTGGTGGCCCTTGAGAGAGGCCGGCCCATGGGTGTCTGCTTCGATGGCAAGGAGCAGCAACGTCTGCAGGTGGACGAGGTCGTGCAGAGACGTGCGCGCACTGCCTTCCGTCTCCCACTGGGCAAGGAGAGCACTCGCAACACGCGCCAGACCAGCCGTTGGCACGGACCCAAGCGCGTCAGAGACAGCGCGCAGTGCGACAACGAATGCGTCTTGCAGGAATTGGGGGCACTGAGCCAGGTTGTCGAGCACACGGGATCGGTCGCTGGGGAGGAAGGGGAGGCAGGGGTGGATGGCAGTGAGGTAGCTGCAGGCGACGAGTTAGCATACATGCATGAATGCGCAACGAGACGAAAAGGTGGGGGGACAGTTCGTATACGAACCAAGCAAACACGGCGTCGTCGAGCTCTTGCGACTCGTGGTCAGCCAGAGGCAGCAGCCGCTCCATATCCGTGAGCGACCGAGAGAGTGCGTTCGGAGTGTCGCCATCGATGTGCGGTTGAGGCGCGAGCGACACGGCCGAGTACGGCGTGCGCGGCGTCGTGGTGGCCCAGGCGGTGTGCCGGTTGTTGTTTTGCGGGCTGCCGTCGGGCGTCTCGTCCGATATGTTGGCAAAGGGCCGCTTGGCGTTCTCGTTGAGCGAGTATCGCGCATAGCCGTTGGCAGCATCGCCCGCGTCACGCAGGAGCTCGAGGGCATCGGCGGCGGACGCGGGACTCTGGTTGCCCAGCTTGCCCTCGATGCTGTTGATGCGGTCGGCGAGCTCCTTGATGTACCCCTTGCTGGGGCCGCGCTTCTGGGGCACGCGGCTGAACAAGCACTCCATGCGCGCACGCCGGCAGTTGGTACAGTGCTCGGTCTCCGACACCGCGTCGCATTTGATCTTCTTGCGGCGACACGCGTCACAGGCGCGTGACACCTTGGATCGTTTCCTTGGCGGGATGTGGTCGACGTTGTACTGTTGGGCCATATGCGCCATCTGCAGCGACGCGGGCAAGTGGCTCACGCCCTGGACGTCAGCCGGGTGCTGCAGAGTGTGGTGGTACGCGGACGTCACGTCGGGGCTGCCGTATGCGCCATCCGCAGCAGCAGCCGCCGCCGCCGCCGCCGCGACGCGCAACGCCTCGGCGTCGTCTTGGCCGTCATGCAAGCCAGCGCCGGCGTCTGCGCCGCTACCGACACCGCTGTTGGCGTCATGGAACTCGCCTTCGCGGCGCGCATTGGCCTCGCGCATCATGGGCGCGAGGCCTTGGCTTAGCTGTGCGGCAAGCTGCAGCTCCTCGACGCTGACGGGCGCTCGCACACCCTGCTGGGGTTCGTCGTGGGCCGGGTTGTGCTCCTGCTCGTGCGGCTGTTGGTGTTGCCGGTGCTCGTCGTGCGCCACCCCGTCCTGGCTCTCCGCCTGTTGTGCGGCGGCTGCTTGCTGCACGTGCTCCAGCGCAGCGGCCGCATACATGTTGTTCTCGTCGTTGGGATGGTGGTCCGCTTGTGCCGCGCCACCGTACACGCCGCCGCTCCCGTCGTCGGCTGGCCCTGTATCCTCCGTTTTAAGGGCGCGCAGGTGCAACTCAGGATACGACTCGTCCGCGTCGCCGCCCATGCTGACGTCGACATCGTCGCTGCCGTTCACTGCAGCGACCAGTGCACGGACATTGGCCTCCGCAGTGGCGGCGCTGTCGTCCAGCTGGCCGCCGCGGCTCTCGTCAGACTGCATGCCTCCGAGCTGCGGATCTATCTGGTCGAGACTGACGTCGGCGCCCGTGGCATTGTAAAAGGAGGTAGCGCCAGCTTGCCCTTCGGCCGTTGGCGTCGGATACTGCTGTGTGAGGGTCTCGTCTGCATTGGCAGCGAGGCCACGTTTGTCCATCAGTGACGCGGTGAGGAAGAGCCCGCGTCGGTGTCGTTTGATATTGTTTTGCAGCGAGAGAGGCGTGCGGAGGTTACGGTCGACGCGTCGCGAAAGTCAAAGCAAAAACGATGTCGAAAGGATCACGGCCGGGGCCCGAACGGGATACCGCCGGCGAGAGAGAAGAGACAAAGCTTAACATAAAAACCACGTGTCAGCCAATTGACCGTACTACGGCACCGGGCAAGGTCTGCCAAGCTGTCGGCACGCGGCGCACGAGGGACGCGCGACGGATGCCGGCCAATGCGAGCCTCGAAAATACATCACGACAAAGTGTGGTGGTGCTGCAGCATTTTGAAGCATTTTGTAGCATTTTGTTGCAGAAAATACTGCCAAAATCGCACGACGCACATGTGTTGCAGCTTGCAGTGGCAAACAAGAGCAAAAGCGCGGCGAAGCTTCGACAAATCTCGAGGCAAAAGAAGTGGACTCACCTCTGGTCAAAATAACCTGGAACTGATGATATTCCGATGCTGGGAAGCGCTGCCAGTCGAAGCGCGGCGGAGGAGGAAGAACCAGATGGCCGATGTGGATGGGGAAAGGAGAAAGGAAAAAGAGAAAGTGCGAGGCAGTGGGAGACGGCGAGGTTCAGGAAAAACTTGTCTGCCGGGAAGGAGCGGTTGGCAGAGTGGGGAAGGCAACTTACGAGAAAATTTTGCGAGGTTGGTGTAGTCACGTGCTTCGTCACGAAGTGTTTAGTCATCCGGCGTTGCGACTTACACCAAATTTGGTAGCGGCGATGCCAAAAAGCTACATGTTCGCTGGGAGCCTGACGTTTTGTGAGAATGATTTGTTTGGAACTCGTCTCTTGGATTAGATGATGGAAGGCTGTATGTAGATTTTTTTTACGAAAATATAATAAAAATAAGTAAATAAAAGCAAATGAGGAAACGGGCCTTATGAGGGAAAATAACACGTGGAAATTTTTAAAATATATTGTAGCAAGAATATTGAATAAAAAAAAAAAACAAGAAACAATTGTAGAGACGGCGGATACGGATCAGCAATAAAACAACACAATTATAATGGTTGAACTCTGCTCAACATCTCCTACAAACCCATCAGAACGTGTGAACGAGACAAAGACAAGAAGACTGTAAACTTCACGCAACGGGCTGAAAAGATTACTGGGCTGTGCAATACATATTACAATCCACTTGCACGGACTAACAGTTTATGAAAAATAAGATACCACTTGTTTCTGATGAGATAAAGGAAAAAGACACATGAGAGTGTCAAGTTTGCGGCCGAGAAAACGGAAAGCACATGACTTGCAATTCACGGTCGTGGTTGCCTGTGTTGCAAAACGGGGATCGCAGTTATTTTAGCGTCTGATTCACCCAACCTCACCTCATCCCTTTAGTTCTTCGCAATGACAGCCGACGTCATCCACCCGCGAGAATATCCATCGATGGCTCCATGAAAACTGGCTGTTTGCAAACAGTTGGCGCGATTATGGGCCCAGACCGCCAATATGTCTACGTTTGACGGCTTCATCAGGGAGTTTCCTGACATCCAAGGTGTGTGTCAAGGAACTGTACACTGTGGCACAATTTTGTCCATACGATGCTTCACCGTTCGATCGTCTAACCAGCTGTCAGTCGACTACTTCCGCAGCACGCAGGGGATGGCATCACGGCGACCCTTGGCCGGCTTCCTGAGCCATGTCCACAGCGACCATCTCGTGGGGCTGGACACACTGCGCTCGCCGTTGTACGTCCACTGCCTAGTCTCGACCATGGCGACTTTCTGCTGACACACTCAGCGTGTACTGTTCGGCGGCAACACGGGCCCTGGTGTCGACACTGGAAAAGTACCCATGCCACGTCAATTTTGCCAAAGGCATTCTCGAAGCACGCAAGCGGACGTACAAGCATCTCCAGAATCTTCTCGTACGTGACTACCTGGTGTGTGTGGACGGATGCAATTGGCGTCTAACGAAGCCGTGCAGAAACCCTTGCCTCTCGATACGCCGACGACGATTGAGCTGTCGCCCGGGAACCGCATCCAAGTGACGCTCTTTGACGCCAACCACTGCCCTGGGTCTACCATGTTCTGTAAGCCGTGTGGCCGTTGACGTCATGCAGAGCCCAAGACTAATATGCATAGTGTTTGAGGACGAGTACAAGGCGGCCCTCTACACGGGAGACACGCGCCTGGAGCCGTGGTTTGTCAACGCCCTCGTCCGCCACCCGTGTTTGGCCGAGTACACCGCCGGCCTGCGCACCATTGACACAGTGTACCTGGACACCACATTTGTCGAGAAGGGTGTTGATTTTCAGACCAAAGCAGAGGGCTTGCGTGAGCTGTTACAGACGGTCGCGAGGTACCCTTCGGACACAATCTTTTACCTGCGCGCTTGGACATTTGGCTATGAAGACGTCTGGACGGCGCTGGCCAAGGCGCTGCGCTCCAAGGTGCACGTCGACGAGTACAAATTGCGTCTTTATAGGTCCATGGCGCCTTTGGCCGCCAAAGGCCAAAGTTCCATTCCCAGTACACACGCCTATGTCGACCCCGTTGCACCCAACCTTGTGGGATTCATGTGTGCCAACACCGCACATGATGGCTGCCTGAGCGTCGAGGATGACGTGCGCATCCACAGCTGTGAAAAGGGACTGGGATACTGTCCCGCCATAAATCAGACGAAGCGGCCGGTGGTTTGGATCCGTCCAATTGTGTGCCGACTGCCACATGGCCGCGGTGAGGTGCCGGAAGTCGGGGCCGGTGGTGGCGGAAAAGACCTCAACAAAGAGGCCGAGCTGGACGTGTACGGCCAGGGCGAGATTGACCGACTGTGCGAACTGTAGGTGGACTTGGCAACATGTGCTTCACGTTTGGAGACCGTGCTAAGCTAACTTGGTCTTGCAGGATGTGCGCGGTGAAAGATCTGTCCCAGGAGGAGAAAGTTGACCTCCAGACCCTGCTCGCAACGTCAATTCATGGCGACCATCAAATCCCCATTCACATTGACCCGGACAAATTTCAAGAACAAGGGCAAGACTGGGAGATGGACATAAGTAGGATCAGATACGCTCTTCTTGAGACGGCGAAGCTTCAGCGCTGCTACGAGACCGGCTTGGCCTGGTCAAATATTAAATCGGAGCCCAAAGGACACCCAACCGCCGTCAACGAGCTTTCTCAGACCATCACCTTTCCTTATTCGCGCCATTCTTCCTACCGGGAGCAATGCGATCTTCTTGACAAGCTGCGCCCCAAGGACGTGTGGCCATGTACGTTTCACCTAGAGGAATGGTTTGCTGGCGGAGAGCTAGTTATCACGGTTGAAGATCTTTTCGGTCAATACTGCTCGGGGAACACGTTCCGCCACGACGTTGAAGCGGCAGAGAAATACGGCAAACGACCTGCAGTCGATGGAGAGGATGCGCAGATTGTCATCGACAGCCAGGTTACGACGCAACCAGACCATGGCTCGAACCCGGATGCCATGTCTCTCCTAGAGACGCAAGACGAGCAAGCGGTCGGCGGTGAATGTTCTCAAGATCACAACGAACATCGACTGGCCCAGGAAGGACGACGCCACCCAGCACTCAATGATTTCGATTATCCTTACTTTTACCTCAACACCACTGCCTCCTACGTTTCGATGCATGATGGCACGGAAGACTCTCAGGCGACACAGATTTCCGAAATTTCTGGAGAGCGGCGTTTTGCCTCGCACCAGGCGGCCGTCAACAATGCCGTCGGAGGTGGCGAGTGGGTGCACATCGCACTGGCGAGCACCTCCGATAACCACACGATGCCAGACGTTGACCTGGGATCTGGATGAAGCGTTTTCGATTGCACTCATTGCGCTCCATGACAGACTTGCAGACCGAAACCCGGGGGAAGGGGAGGTGGTGCTGCGGCAGAATGCGAACACTTCCCCCCCAGAAAAAAAAAACCATTTGCCGCATTTGCCTAAACTGGATGCCGCACCCTGTTGCTCCGTGCATCCGCCACGGCACGCAGATCTGATGCTCGCTAGCCTGGCCATGTGATGGTCCTGTTTACTTGCGGAGTTGGGGTAATAAGTCGGAACAAGCTCATTGCTATCATCTTATTTTGACTTGGGATTCCCGCTTAACCATAGCAAACTTTCTGGGAGCAAGGATCTACTACTACGTCGATTTTTCGGCTTCACGATGGGCGGTTCTTCCCTTGCTGTTTTCGGTCTCGTCCTGAGCGCCTTCTGGGCTCCAACGGCATTGTCGCTTCCGACAGCAGCATCCGAGTTGGACCCTGCCTTTGGTTCTGTCGGGCCTCGCCAGAGTCTTGATCTCGCCGCCATCGCCCCAGAATTGTTCAACGCGCCATCGAGCCGAAACACAAAGGATGCCGCAGTGGCCTCTGACCTTGCAGGCTACCTGACCATTGTCTTCCTCGGCGCCGACCCATACATCTACTTTTACCTCAGCGACGGCAACAACCCAATCGCCTTCAAGGCTCTCAACAAGGGAAACCCTATCCTCAAGCCGACCAAGGGAACGGGTGGCGTGCGTGATCCCGCGATTGTCAAGGGCGGGGGTGACGAGGCTGGTCGAAAGTGGTATATTGTCGGCACGGACCTCAACATCGGCAAGACGACGTGGGACGCGTCGCAGCGGACCGGCTCACGGGGCATCTTTGTGTGGGAGAGCACCGACTTGCTGACGTGGACCAACGAGCGGCTGGTGACGGTCGAGGACCAGACGGCGGGCATGGTGTGGGCACCCGAGGCCATCTGGGACCCGGCCAAGAGCCAGTACATGGTGTACTGGTCGTCCAAATTTGTGCGTTGACCCTGCCACTTGTGTATGATTTGTATTTGGCCAGTGATCTCATCTCATCCGAGCGACTCTAGTACACTGCATCCGACAACAAACACACCGGATCGCCCACCAATACCCGGATCCGGTATGCCTACACGTCCGACTTTAAGACGTTCTCGGCACCGCAGACCTACGTCGACAAGGCCCCCAGCGACACCATTGACTTGACCGTGCTGCCCCTGTCCACGGCTTTTGGCGTGGACCTCGCCGCTGCCGCCACGAACCAGACCTTTTTGCGCTTCATGAAGGACGAGAGCAAGAAGGGCGTGTTCATGGACTACTCCACGACAGGGATCATGGGACCGTTTACTCGGCCGGGCGGTGCTGCGGCGACGATCGAGTCTGGTGTTGAGGGCCCGGCGGCGTTCTGGGACAACACGGTGGCCGGCAAAGCACACTTGCTGCTCGACTTTTACGGCGGGGACGGCTACCGACCGTACGAGAGCACGCGTCCGGAGACCAACAACGGATGGACGGCTAGCAGCCGCTCGGCATTTCCCAAGAACCTGCGGCATGGGAGCGTGCTGCCGGTGACGGCGACACAATATGCAGCGCTTGCTGCCCACTGGGCATAATATCCACGTTACATTATATTACGGCCGTTTTTTACGACGTTGATCGTGGCCGTTTTCTAACGCGACGGTCTGGGGGAGCTGGTGCTTTGAAAACAACGTTAGCAGCCCCAGTTTTATTTTTCTTTAAAAATACGGTTGCACTCATAAGACGAGTTCTAAAGTCGTTCATTGAATGAAATACGGGGTAATGCGACGTCTTGTGCAATTTACAGGTGAACATGCTGAGCGGAGTGCATGGTGCGCCGTTGCCGTCCATTGTCTGCCGTCTACCGTAGCAACAGGACCCACGCGACTCCGACGAACGCCAAAGGTAATAATACGATGCCTGTATGATTTACGATGCGAAGATGCTTCGCAAATGTTCCGACCGGAGTCATTACAACGTATTTCGTCGTAATGAGGTATGGTTCCTTTACTGCTCCACTACTCCATTTTGCTCTGCCGTCGTTGCAGCGCTATTTGCCCTGTTGAATCTGGAGGACCACTGTGTAGACACAGGGGTGGATTGGGGTGTCGAGGGTGTGTGTCTGAGCAAATCTCGCTGCGACGTATCTTATTTAATGACCTCATTTGGTTTGGCCGATGGACGTAGCTCAGTCACAGTTCGAGAGAGTGTCAAAACGGAAGCACCCCTGTCGATACTGGGGCCAATGGCGGTCATTTGACCCCGGCCGAACCTGCCGAGCCTTGGCAGTTGGTTGCAACGCCATCAACGGTTTTTGACGACGCCGTCAGGCCGTGTGCCATGTTGCTTGTCAGGGTAGCAGTGTAGCAGAGCATCGAGGACTGCATCGGGGGCGGGCGTCTTCCACTCTGCTGCGGCTTGTGACGACTCATTTCGCAACAGCGTCTGACCGACCTCGAGCCGTGCGGGCGCAAATTGATACCGGAAAGACAATGCGGTGGTGAACAAGGTGGCTGGCTGCAAGTCATCGTTGACTAGACATGGGTCGCTCGTATTCTGTTTTAGGACGATGTTGCAGCACTGGCCATAGGATTGAACTTGCAACATTGACCGTTGCTGAAATACGAATTACCGACAGGTCGATCAGATTCGAGAGCAAACAAAATATACATGTGATGATAAAATAAATACAAAGATTGCAAAACGCCCTTTTCGTCCTTTCTATTTTCTGCCCGCGCCGTTTTAGTTGAATCCATTTCCAATCAGACGCCGCACCTGCTCTACACATTCAGCTGGGCAGCCCCCGTCTTGCGAATGTAGTCCTGGAAGGCGGCCAGGCGCTTCTCGACAGGGCCGCCGGGGCCGCAGTAGCGCTGGACCATCTCGCCGGAGCGGCCGACAAAGAGGGCCGGGTCCAGCAGGCCGTCGATGTCGGCCCAGACGGGGCGGAAGTACTCGGTGGCCTTGATGCGCTCAATGAGGTCGTTCTTGCCGCCCTGGTTCTTGACCACGTCGCTCGCCTGGTGCGACAGCACGCGGATCTCCTCGTGGGCCTCTTGGCGCGAGCCGCCGGCGGCGACCAGCTTCATGATGATGGTCTCGGTGGCCATAAAGGGCAGCTCCTCCATGACGTGGGCGTGGATGCGCTTCGGGTAGATGACCATGCCGGAGCTGACGTTGTCGAGGCCGATGAGGACGGCGTCGGCCAGCAGCATCATCTCGGGAATGTCGATGCGGCGGATGGCGCTGTCGTCGAGCGTGCGCTCGAACCACTGGTCGGCGTACGTGTCGGCAAAGTTGGCGGGCAGGCTGCGCAGCTTGCGGCCGAGCGAGCAGATGCGCTCGGAGCGCATGGGGTTGCGCTTGTAGGCCATGGCCGACGAGCCGATCTGGTCCTTCTCAAAGGGCTCCTCGAGCTCCTTCATGTGGGCGAGGTGGCGGATGTCGCTGGTGATGTGCATGGCCGTGGCGCCGAGGCCGGCAATGGCGTTGGCGATGTCGAGATCGACCTTGCGCGAGTAGGTCTGCACGGAGATGTCGTAGGTCGTCGGGAAGCCGGACTTGGCACACAGGATCTCGTTGAGCTTGTCGATCTTGGCGCCGTCGTTGTGAAAAATCTCCATGAAGGAGGCCTGGGCTGGGCGTGTGTCAGGTTGCGTGTTCTAGAAATGCCATGGATGCCAATAGGATAGAGGATGATGTAGGGGGTGCATACTGCCCGTGGTGCCCATGGCGCCGCGGAACTTGAGATTGGCACGCTGGATCTGGATGTTCTCAAGGTCCATCATCTGGTCGTGTCAGTCAAGGCACCTACTGTCCGGAATGGTCCGCCTCAACAGCCACACTCACGAGGTCCTGGATCCACTGGGCGACGCGGCGGCCGACGGTGATCAGCTGGGCGGGCTGGAAGTGGGTGAAGCCGAGCGTGGGGATGTCCTTTGTCTGCAGCGCAAACTGGCTGAGGTTGTGGATGACCTTGGCCAGCTTGGGAATGAGAAGGTCCATGGCGTCTCTGTTGTTGTCGTTGTTAGTGCCAGCCCATTGTGCTCTTGTGAGGACGGGGCGGGCCCGGAGCATACCGCATGAGAATCAGCTCGGCGTTGTCCGTGACGCTACGCACTGTTAGTAGGATTTCAGCCAGTACATCGCCAGACACGACTGCCCAATGCTCGCCACCACTTACTAGCAGGACGTGGCGCCGAGGTGGATGATGCCGGCCGCAGCAGGGGCCACCTGGCCGTACGCATGAACGTCTGTTGTCTGTCAGCCGAAGTCGTCCCTCAACTTCAGTAGTGCCACCGCCGTCGCGGCGTAAAGAACTCACGCGCCATGACGTCGTGTCGCCGGCGCTTCTCCTCGACGGCGGCCACGGCAAAGTCGTCGTCGGTCAGCGTCAGGTGGGCGCGCATCTGCTCGAGCGCCTCGTCCGTGATGCCCTCCACGCCGACCTCCTTCTCGGCCTCGGCCAGCAGCAGCCACAGCTTGCGCCACACGGAGTGCCGCGAGCGCGCGCTGAAGAGCTGCTTCATCTCCGCGCTGCTGTAGCGGGAATCGAGCGGTGTCTGCAGTGCGGGCTCTGGTCAGATTCAGTCGTTTGATGTAGCGATACACGCCGCATCCGTCATCCCATTCAAGCCACCCGGGCCACCATCCAGGCTACTGCACAGGAGAGCACTTACCTTGTACGTATCAAAGCCGGACATGGTGGCAGCTGGTGGGATGCAATGAGCAATCGTGACTTGTGGTTGGTGACGGAGGGTCAGTTGGGTCCCGGATGGGCGCAGGACTGGGCAACTGTAGACGCGGCCGACTCAATGGCATATACAGTAAAATGCAGTAAGCACACAGACGAAGCAACAAAACTATTCACGACAATAACGCTATCGAACCATCACGATAAAATAAAGTTTTTGCTTCGCCGATAATGGAGCCACTAGATGCCGGCGACCCCTGCAGTGGGCTAGCCTCACGTTCTTCCAACCCCACTATGAGGCCACCACGTGCCAAGTCATGTGCCGATCAGTGCCGGCTCACTCCCTAACTGTCGACCCGCTTGCCCCTACGATCCAGCCTGGTTTGCCCTCCGTACACCCTCCGCCAGCACTACAACGTCACCGTTGCCTTGGCCACATTCTTGCCCGTCACCTGCACGGCCACGCCCCGAGCTGCGCCGGCGATGCCCAGCGCAGATGCCAGCTCCTGCACTGTCAACGTCCGCGTCTCGTGCGGGAACAGCGTCACATAATTGTCGGACCATGTGACAGGCGTCACATCGGCGCCCTCTGCGTCGACGAGATTCAGCGACACAAACACGGCCGGGACAGCCGAGTGGTTTTCGAGGCGGATGACCGTCTCGGCAGAATGAGAGCCGTTGGTGGCCGCCGCCGCCCTCGTCTCCCGAGCTGCCGTCACGTTCGCCGCCGGCAGCTTGTCGAGCGACTGGAAGCCGGCGTACTTGGCCACGGGCGTGTAGTACCAGTTGGAGTCGTCCCAGCTGAGCGTGTCCACGCCGGCGGCGCTCAGCCAGTAGACGCTGCGGCTCAGAACGCCGGCCGACGGCGCGATGCCGTCCAGCAGCGTGAGGCGCAGCAGAGCGACGTCCTGGAGCGTCGACACGCCCTGGATGGGGAGCACCGTGCGGCTGCTGTTGGGCACGGCGACCGTCGTCCTTTCCTTGGTCGACGTCGTGATGTTGCTGATGACGGCGCCGTCGGCCGCGTTGATCAGCTCGGCGCGCACCATCCGCACGCCCGTCTGGTTCTGCGACCGGTTGACGAGCACGGCCGCCTGGCGCACATAGTCGTACGCGACGTGCTCCAGCGCGCCCGTGCCCAGGGCCGCCTTGACGCCGTAGTAGGCCCCCGCCGGGTGCAGGTAGTAGTCGAAGAGCGCCCAGTGCAGCGCCGGCCACGCGCCGTTGAGCATCCAGTAGACGAGGCCCGTCGCGGGCCGCCTGCTGCTGTTGGCGTCCGTGCTGGCCGCGCCCGCGAGGCCCCAGTTGGCCGCAAAGCCCTCGAACGCGGCCCGCGTGGCCTCGTAGTCGGCCATTTGCGTCTTGAGGAGGTAGTCGTCGAGCGACGTCGGCGCGCCGTACCGCTGCCACAGCGCCGTGTTGAAGATGGTGCGGTTGTGGAACGAGGACGCCGCCGTCGACATGTGGTACAGGCCCTTGTTGGGCGCGCGCCAGAGATCGTCGAGATCGGCCGTCGACAAGAACTTTTTGAGGCTCGAGAGCGTCGGCGTGCCGCCGCCCGGCCCCTGCTCCGACCCAAAGCCAAAAGCCGCGCCGTAGCGCACGTCGTCGTCGACCGTGGCCGGGTCCGTGATGTCGTACCAGTAGTTGGGCGGCACCCAATCGTACGGACCCGGCATCTTCATGCCGCCCGGCCCCAGCGCCTTGGGATAGCCTGCTTTGGCCGCCGAGGCCACGACGGGCGCCTGCCAGCCGGCGTCGGCCAGCGCGGCCGTGTAGATGGCCGTCGCGCGGTCGTCGGGCCAGTAGTCGCTGCCGACCAAGAAGCCCAGCAAACTCGGGTGGCTCTGCTGCATGGCGGCCTCGTGGCGCATGCTGGCGTTGGCCGTCGCATAGTCGGCATCCGACCACACGGCGACCGGCTTGGGCAGGTCGTCGTTGTACGACCAGGCCTCCCACTTGTCGCAGCACTCCCAGCCGGGCAGCACCATCAGACCCAGACGGTCGGCGATTGCATACAGCTCCGGCTGCTCCATCTTGCCCTCGAGGCGGATCGTGTTGAGGCCCATGTCGAGCGTGTAGCGGGCGTGCGCCTCGAATCGGGCCGCGTCCCATCGCAGAAACACGTCGGACGCGTAGCCTCCGCCGAGCACCTGGAATGGCTTGCCGTTGATGGAAAACAGAATGTCGTCGGCGCTGCTGACCCGGGCCGCGACCTCGCGGAACCCAAACGACTTGGTGGCCGCGTCCGACTTGACGACGGACGACCGCGATGATGTCGTGGCCGGCGCCGACACGGTGAGCTGTGCAGTGTACAGAGGCTGGTCGCCCCACTGCCGCGGCCACCAGATGGCCGGCGCGTCCACGGTGGCTGTCAAGACGATGCGTGTGGTCTGCCCCGGGCCCAGCTGGGTCGACGGCGATGATACTGACGACAGGGCTGCGTCCGAAGCCGCCAACGATCCGCCATCCCGGAAAATGCTCGCTTCGGCAGCAAAATTGACGCTCGCCGCGCCCAGGTTGCGCACGGTCGCCCGGATCGTGACGGTGCCGTTTGTGCCCGCAGTGACCACGCTGAACGACTCAATGGCGACGGCCCTCGTCTTGCGCAGATTGATGTCCCGCCACACGCCCGTGCCGTTGTCCGGCGGGTATGGATTCCAGTCCACAAAGCCCAGGCCAAAGTCTTGGAGGTAGTTGGTTGGATACGCGCGGACGACAATGGCATGGGCACTGCCGTTTTCCTTTCCGCTTCCAGACTGAATGGCAGACGTCACATCGTACACGTGTCCGCCGTATGCGCCGCTCTGTGTCACTTTGTCGGCGACCTGCTGGCCATTCAGATAAATATCGGCCCGTGACGTGATGCCGTTTGTTTCCAGAAGGTAGTATGTGCTGCTGCTGCTGCTGTTGCTGTAGGAGGAGGAGCCACTCTCCGACGGTACTCCAGATGCAATTGTGAACTCGCTGCGGTACAGCCATGGCACTTGGAACTGCGCCTTGTCGATGGCTGCCAGGTGGTCCGAGAAAAACAGGTCGCTGTCGTTGTACACGCCCGCGGCAAGGAGACAGCCAAATACCGTGCATCGCGAGACGGGCGCATGATGCCATGACGAAGAAGCGGCAGCGGCTCCTGGTTTGGACAGAGCCGCCGGATCCTGTGTAATTTTGGCCGAGGACTGGACATCCCAAGCCGGAATGGGCGCCGTGTCGCCAGCTGAGACCAGGGAAAGGGCTTTTGGTTGAGCGGCCGCTGCAGCTGTTGCTGCCAGTGCAAAGAGGGAGGCTGCTGTGTCGACGGAGAGACGCATGGTGACAACAATGAGGAATGGCGATCTGGTGCCAAAAGAGAATACAACGTCCCAGGAAGTAGAAAACGGAGGGTCCAGTATGCCTTTTGACGATGCTCCTTCTCCATGATCCGCCGTGATCCATATCAGCCGTCTTGTATAGCAATTTATTTTTAAAGTGGTGGCCCGGCATTGCCTGCGCATCTTTATTTCCCTTCTGGCTGTTTCTCCGCGGCTGGGCGCCCAGGTGTACCGCAGCAGTCTAGAGCCGTCTTCGCTGGTGGCAACATAAGACTGTCTAGATGCAGCCCGTCATCTGCAACGTTGACTTTGAAGATAGGTTTGCTACGTCGTACTGTGTGCTGCTTTGCAGAGGTTGGCGTATCTGGGAGCAAACCTGTGTTGGATCTATCTGTTTTGTTCATTAGTTAGTACCTGCTGAAGCAGAGGTAAAACCGAATGGTGAATCCCTGCAATAACAAACACGTTACGAGACTCAAAATTCTGATGAAGTTCAGAAACATTGCAGTCATCTATGTGAATACTTCATGTTGGAATTGGGACACTGTGCGTGTAGACCTACATCTTGTGTGGGACATTGTCCCCTCCTTAAGACGGGTAAAATCGAGAAATGGCGGAGAATACCTTGCGGTCGTTCCAAACAAGTTTAACTACCTCGGAAGAGCAACGCATCGAGCGGGACATTTGTTGGCCTCCTCCGTCTTCCGAGGAATACGTCAAATCGCATATACAATCGTTGACCCAGTTTGAGGCCAAGGTTAGGTAGTGATAAAAACAAAACAGTGCGTGGTACATCTTGGACTTTTCAACTTGCCCAAAGACCAAGAAACAGCTTTCAAGAAAAGTGGATTATGGACAATATAAATAAGAGTATAATCGAGAATCTGCCATGTCTATGCTAGAATTTTAAAATAAGAAACGCGAAAGATAAAAAACACCACAAGAAGCCAAAACTTTTGGGAGTTGAATGTAAAGGACGACAGACGCCGTTCTTGCTTCCCGAAAAGAGTGTTCCGAAACGAGCGTCGAGAAGAAAAAGAAGAAGAAAAGAAGAAAGAAACCAAGGAGAAAGCGACAGAACGAGAATGGAGTTGTGGAGGTTGGGCAAGCAAAGAAAATCGACCAAGGCAAAAAGTAGAGTGAAAAACGTAAGTGAAATAAGAAGTGAAGAGTAAAGCGAAGAGTCTCGCAACTCCTCTGAGGGGTATCAACTAAACCAAAAAAGGGGGGAGATGATGAAAAGGAAAGTCTGTGTGTGAAGCCAGGATCGAATTTGTTTGCTGTTCGGCCGCGGTGTCGAAAAGGGCGGGAAAGGTAAAAAAAAAGCCAAAATATTGAATGCAAAAAAGCGAGACGATTGGAATGAATGGAGAACTTCCACATTCCCAGTCTGCTCCCTAAACATGCCGCTCTCGTTCGGCGGATCGCACTCTCTGTCGTCCGTGCAGGGCTCCGTTTGCGCAAAGCTACCGACGAGCTCCTCCAACTGTTGAATAATTTGTTTATTTTTGGTTGACAAAAAAGGGGCGAGCTGCAAGACCCAAAACTGCCACTAAAGCCCGCCACCGCCGACCAGGTTCATGTTGGCTTCCGCCTGCCAACGCCACTATTGTCGTCGCCGTTTGTCCTGTATGATGCCGCCAAACCCACCAGGAGTGCGATCCGGTAAACAGAAAAAAATGCCAAAAAAAGCGAAAAAAAAAAAAAAAACAACGAAGAAAATGTCGTGAAAATACGGGGATAAAGCCATGGCGCTATTTATCTTGACAGGAGCCCAAGTCTTGTTTTCCGGTTCGTCTTATGATGCTTGGCCAGAGTTGTGCCGTTCGACGTCTCCGTAGCCGAGATCCAAACCCAGTCCGCTTCCATTGACGTGGGTCAGATCGAGCGATGGCAAGCCGTTGGATCGCGAGGTGCCCATCGACTGCGGCGCACCCGTCAAATGCGACTGCGGGTCGCCGAGCGCTTGCGCGTAGCTATACGTGCCGATGCTCTGCGTGTATGGGGTCATTGCTGCTCCTGTGGCGGCTGCCGCCGTGTAGTTGGCTGTGGCGTCGGGGGGGCTCGTGCTCGTGCCGCTGGGCGTCGTATTGTTCGGGTTGGGTGTCGCGTGCGTACGTGGGCTCGCGTCCGCGGACGCGTTGCTCGTATACATGGGGCCTGGGTGTGGTCGGTAATCGCCGGCAGGGCTGCCCGTGAGCCCGTGCCCTGCGGATGTCGACGCCGCGCTCGAGGGCTGGTAGCCCATGGACGACGGCGATGCTTGGAGTGCGCCGTACTGGAACGCGTGCTGTGGTGAGTGCCGACTCGACGGCGACTGGAACGTGCCTTGACCGGCCGAGCCCGGACCATGCGGGCCGCCGCCCAGTTGCTGCGTGTCGAGACGGTTGAGGTGGTGCGTGTGAGGCGCTGCATGGCTGTACCCGAGGGTGGCCGTTGTTGTCTGAATCGGCAGCCCATACGGGGACGAGCTAACCGGCATACCGATGCTGTGATAGGCAGCGGCCCGTGGCGCACCGTACCCGCCGAGATCGGATGTTCCGGCTGCCACACTGGGCACACCGCCGGTGTATGGAGGAGGCGGCGGTGGTACGTCGTCGATGCCGAGGCGGCGCCGCTTCGAACCGAGGCCGGCGCTGTCGGGGTCGTAGTGGCCATACGCCGTTGCCACGTGAGGGTCAAACGCACTGCCGCTCGTCGTCGTGGCGCCATACGGCAAGCTGTCGTCGGCACTGCTCGTACGCGTAGGGATGGATCTCCGCCCAGCATCGCGCGGATCCTGGTGCTTCCGGGCAAACTCGGCCGCTGTCGCATTCCGCTTCCTGGTCGTCATGCTCCGGGAGTCCTTTCGTAGGCGAAGCCGCACGCCCTGGTCGCTAAAAGAGCGCGTCAAGAATGTCGACTCCGCGAGTCCAGGGAAGGACTTTGTAGGATAGACCTGGAACGTATCGGACACGATGGACGTGATGTGCACGCACTCCATCTTCTGCATCTGGTACAGTGTAAACAACAACCGGAACTTGCCTTCCACCTTGCAGCTGAGGTCGCCGAAAACGAAGAAACCGCCGTCCTGATTGTCTGTATCCTTGAGACGATGCAATGACGAGACCACGGTCCCAATGAGGTAACTAGGCAGCGGCTCTTTTGAGGACGTCTCGTCGCCCTTCAACAGAGAACAGGACATAAAGTAGTACGGACCTAGATTGATTGTGACGCCGCGTTAGGCTCCCGCGTTTGTCCCTGACTTGCCTGCTCCTCTTTCTCAAGCTTCAAAGGTGCTGATACGTACTCTGGAGGAAGTTCTGCATGGGGTCCTTTTTGTGGCTGACCTTAAGCTGCAGGATTGGTGGTGGATCGATGGGTTTGCGATCGGCTGTACTCGCGTCAGTTGGTTGGACAGCACACGAGGAGAAATGTCAACAAAACGTACCTTTGTCCTTGCCCAGTGCCACGCGGGCATGCTGGGGCTGTTGGCGTATCTCAAGCATGTAGTCGGGTACACTTTTGGGGGGAGAGGGAGAGGGCTTGTTAGCAGATGGTCAGTCTTTTCAATGAGCAACACCTCCGCCACAAGACTGTACACACCTTTCTTCCACTTTGATAGCCGCTGAAGGAGGCGCAATGGCGTGGTCCCCAAACTGCGTCGCGTATGCGGTGTGCAGATGCCCGCTCATGGGGGACGGTGGTAAGATCGAGTCGAATCGCCCGTCGTCATGCACTAGAGAATAGTCACTGGCAGAGGTGGCGCTGGTCGTGCCGTAGTACTCGTACCCGTCCGCCTTTCGTTTTGTGGACGCCGTCGTGTCGGTGTTGACTGGTTTGCTTTTCGTTTCTTCTCGCGCGTCCGTCGAGAAGCCAAAAGCAGCAGCGTTGCGTTGTTCTCAGACCCAAATGGAAGGCGAAAATTCAATACCAGCTCCGCGTCGAGGAGAGTCTCTGAAAGATGTCCCAGAAGCGCAAAAGGATGATCGTCTACCTGTCGTCCGTGGCGCGTCCGTCCTGCAACCGCCACTCTTACTTGCCGATGTGTATCTCTCCAACGTTCCGATGCAGTGCCCTGAGATCTAGTAGCTCGAAGTGTCCATGCGCGTGCTGACTGTGCTTCGTTCTCTGCGATGTTGGCCAAACTGCAGGCAACGGCTAGGTTGAGGTACGGTCGCAGACCACCAGTCAACTTTGCAAGGTCGTAGTTAACGAATGAGAGCCACTTTCCGTCCAAGAAGAGGCAACGTGACCGGGCGAGGCTGATGAGTGCTGCTATTGGGTTTGCTGGATGGCAGCACCAGTTGTTGAATAAGGAGCGACAAAGATTTGGACGACGTAGAAATCCGAGAGGAGCCCGACGTGTGCGCGCAGATGATGTGGAGAGTGTGATCGAGATAGTCCGACGTGAATAGATGAAAGGTTAACGTGGAATGGTGCACGAGATACAGTCAAGAGAGAGGCAAAGTAACGGCCAGAATGGAAAAGAAAATATTAAGAGAGAGATTGCTCTGGAGTCGGTGATGGAGAACGAGAGGAGGGGAGGGGGCGAGGCGTGATAATATGGGTCTCAGAGATCCAGTTTCCTGTACTTGTCGTTGCGCCACCGGTGGGTGTAAGAGCAAAATAAAATAAAAAATAAGGAAACTGCCGGCTGGGTCGAGGTGCGGATGTGCTGGTCCACGGAAGTTGCAACACACAACCTGGTCGTCTCAAAAGTGGTGTCTTTTCTCCACGCTTTGCCTTGTCCTTTCCTGTTGCTCTTCTCCTTGATCTTCGTGTCGAGACAACTCAAAATGCGCAAATGATGCTGTCCGAGGTTGTTGCAACGGGCCCAGGCCAGTCCAGAAAAGTTGTATGCTGACGCACGAACAGCTGAGCGTGCCGGAACAAACTCTGGATAGGATATGAAAATAAAGTGCCACGGATTCCGGACAGTGATAAAAAGAAGAAAGAAGAAGATGCGGTAAATTCGGTTGGTGAACAAGAGACGGATCGCAAAAAGACAAACAAACAGTCCTCAACGCAGGCGTCAAGTGCAGAGTTGCAGTGCACTCGATGTGGTGTGGTTTGTTCTTGTGGTTGAGCTCCGGTCTACTGTCGTCCGTCTGATCTGGTTGAACCTGCAATGCAGGAAGAAAGATTGGGATCGTAGGCCCAGGGAATGACTGGAGTGGCAGAATATAAATAAATGTGAAGAATAAAAAGAAAGGTGTGTGCAAGTTGAGGTGGATAGAAGGTGTCCTTTTGTTCTCCGCCACACAAACTTGCATCGTATTGAACGAAATGCTTGCTGAAGAGAAGACTCTCAGAACGATATTGTATCTACGATATAGGCAGGGCCAGTTACGGAGGGGAGGGGTGGTTGGAGTGTTGGAGAAAGCACAGGGCGGAGAGGGCCAGAAGCGCGAGGGTGGGACGGAGAGTTGTGCGTGACAGGGGGGGAGGCGTGCATGTAATGGAGAAAAAGAGGGAAAGGAAAAGAGAGAAAGAAAACGGAAAACAGGTTAGGTGGAGAGGGGGGTGTGAGAAGCAGCCTGGAAGGAGGGTCCTTGACAAGGCACAGTAGTAGCCAGTGGCAGCAGGAAAGAATGTGAGGCCAGTCCTAGTGTGGTACTGTCTCTCAGTTCCCCATTTGTGTACAAGCGCACAGAGGACAAGGAAAAGAAAAAGAAAAGAAAAGAATGACAGATCGAAGGAGGTCAAAGAACCGACCAGGGTGGATGGGCATCAGTGGAGAGGAGAATGCAAAGGAAAAAGGTTAATTCGAGTCGAAGGGGAATAAAGTAGGGAAAAGATAAAGTAAGCCTGGTCTAGGTCAGGTATTTTGGCTAGTAAGTCCCTCGATGTCAAAGGTATCTAACGCTGTATTCTGGGCTGCTCAGAGGGCGAGTAAAGAAAAGGGGCGTGTGCAGATGTGAATGTACCCCGTAACCAGAGACGTCGTTGTGTGCACCTGCAATAAATAGAGGGAGGGGACCAGGGCAGGGTAAAGCAGTGCCGGCGTGACGCAGCTGGTATCCTGGTGATGACTAGAAAAAGGGCACCGAGACGACTGAACAGAGCAAAAATGTGCTGTGTCTGGTAAGAGTCTGGCCGTGGCAAGGACGGATGGCCGCTGGACTACCTTTTGCCTGCCCGTTGCCGATGCAGATGTGGAAAGACATGCAACGGGTGCTTTCTTCAACGGGGGCCGTCTTTGTGGGGATCGTACCACAGTCGGAAGAGGTTGAAGTGGGGGAGTCAAATCTAAATCGGACAAAGACGAATGGGCTGGGTGGAGAGACAGTGAGAGAGGTCACAGAGAAAGGCCAGATAGAAAGGTATGGGCAGGAGCCAGCAGCGACAAGTACACTATGCATACACTGAGTTAAGACAGCGGGCAGTGAGGACGATACGGGAGGAGAAAGTCAGATACGACTTTGTACTGGACCGTCAGGTCGTAGCAGATCCCAAGTTGGTGCCGAACAAGCCAAAATATGGTCTGGGTGGAGTGTCCTGCTCCCAGTTCGACGTAGGATTGGGTGGATGTTGGTCGAAGAGAAGCGCGATTGGGCGAGCCACGCCGCTGGCCGAGATGAGGTAGCTTTCAGAGACAACAGAGGCATAAAGACGAGGTGGGCCACAGGCGGAGCGACAGACGATGGCTCTGTGGCCTACGTAGCGGAAACAAAAGTGGGTGGTAATACACAGTGAGGCCCGTGGCAAGGTGAGGGAGAAGAAAGTATGTCGCAGTCGCTTCCCGTATCCCGCGCGTGACCGAGTGGCTTCGCGGTCAGGACGAGTCGAGCAGAGCGTTTGTTCGGCAGAGTGTGTCGTCGCTATTAGATACTGTCAAGACGTGTGTGTGCTCAGCACCTCTGCTTGTTATTGTGGGTGATCGCTTGCCGATTTCTTATGCTGCTTGATCGGATGACCTTCTTTCCTCGGATCGTCTTATTTTGTCTTGCGCTTTACCCCAGAAAGTGGCCGGTCCAAAAGGTATCCGGACCCATCAAAGCTAAAGTCTCGCTCAATGCCCTTTCGACTGTTCGCGGATGGTTCTGAAAGCATATTTGAATGTCTTACTGGCTAGATATCGCATGCATTACCCATAGCTTTGTTTTCTATGCCGCCCCGAGATGTTTGAGTATATGGCAAAGTCGAAAGGGGTAATAAGGCCGTTTTTTTTTAAGTCGGGATGTGGAGGAAGTTGGTGGAGAAAAAAAATGAAAAGAGACGTCAAGTCCAAATCGGTTGGACCAAGGAAAATAGATCGGCAAGGCAGGAATTGATCAGTAGAGGAAGTACGACGTAGTTGGAGAAAAGTAAGCTGGGTAGAACAACAGAGTTGCTGGGATCAAATTCTGTCAGAGAGGACCAAGAAATCGGTATCGGTATGACGAACCCGGTTTCACCAGGATGTTAACTGGGAAAGGGAAGAAGAGGAGTCGAGGTGAAAGAAAACAAGAAATCCTTGGGCCCAGTTCACCGTTGGGTAAACTCACCGGGGATGTGACGTGGATAATGCCGTGGGGTTGGTGTCTCGAGTTAAATCCATGCAGTGACAAGAGGAAAAGAGTGTGCAGGAACAATACAGGTAGTATAGGAAGCATACAAGGAATTTCTGCACGAGTTGAAAAAGAAACGAACGGAGGACGGGACGTGAGACGTAAAACGGACGCTAGAGAAGTTGGCCATGCCGAGACGATAAGGCGTTAAGAAAAAGAAAAGAACAAGGGAAAAAAGGAAAGAAAAAAAGGAACGCAAAGTAGAGAATAGTCAAAGAGGATAGCGGATAGGAAAACCGAAAACGGTAATCTAAGAATACCAAAACAAGGACCTTTGACTTGAAAATGCAGGGTTTCACGCAATGCGTCGCTGTGAAAAAGGCGGGATACAAGAGTCGCCGATCGCTAGGAACTTAGAAGCCGGGGAGAAGGGGAAACCAGCGTCTTCAATGCTTTCTCTAAATTGTTGTCATTTAATAGTGCCTTCGTAGGCCGATAATATGACGTTCGCGGCCCGGAGAGTGAAAACTCGGAAATGCGAACTAGAACGTAGTATCACTCAAATATTGCTTTAAGAGTTGCAAGAAATGGAGTATGGTGAGTTACCACCCAAGTATGAGAATCTCGCTGCACAGCTAGAGACCAAAGAGAAATGGTGGGCACAGAGAAAAGGCGGAAAGAGATTGCCTGACGCCTCGCACAATTATAACGTCCGCATCGCTGCTTTTGGCTTCCCAACTTTCCAATGGTGAATGCTCAACATTGCATGTCCATCAGTACAGAGCATTACCGCATAGTGGAATATAGTAGTAATACTCCGTATCTGAAGGGAATCATAACACATATCGGACAAAATGGTGCGGCCTGGGACGGAAGAGGGTGCGGAATTGACGTATATATAATTTCTGCGATCACTAATTGTAGAGTCTGTAAGGCTCTAGTCGTTTCTCGTTTATTTTTGTCAAAACTCCGGCGCACTCGAGATCAACAGAGGCCCATGTTGGCCCCCAATGGTAGGTTCGAGCGGGAAAGAAGAATGGTGCCTTATTATGTGTTCTGTTTTTGTATGTTGTCGGAAAACTCCCGCGGCTGGACAGGCACAACTTTGAGCGCTGTGGCTTGCACACGACTGGCGGTGTGAATGCGCGGGATGGGATTGAAAGGTGGTTGGTTTCGAGATTGGGTGGCAGCTGTGGTTTCCA